CGATTGTGTGTGACATCAAACATAAATCATCCACGCGCGAAATCCAGGTCTTCTAGGTTCTTCACGTCGGTCCAGGATATTCCTGTCTTCTCGTTTCCCACTAGTCTGACGCATAATCCAGTCCACCACAATTAGGAATATCATTGGTGATAGTAAGCACCCTTGTCTGACTCCTGTGTTTACTCCAAACGCCTCGCTGAGTTTTCCGTTGTGGATCACTTGGCAGGTGCCGTTGTCGTACAGCTGTTGAATAAGGTTGATGAATATTTGGGGTACGCCATAGTACTCGAGTAATTTCCAAATTACTTCACGATCAACGCTGTCGAAGGCCTTCTCAAAGTCTATAAAGTTGAGGTAGAGGTTTGATTGCCATTCCATGCTTTGTTCGATGATGATGCGTAGAGTTGCAATTTGGTCAGTACATGATTTGCCTTTCCTGAATCCAGCTTGTTCTGGTCGGAGTTCTGTCTCCAGTGCGTCCTTTAATCTCTCCAGGATGATGCGACTCAGGATTTTACTTGGCGTCGATAGGAGCATGATTCCTCGCCAGTTCTTGCAGAGTCCTAAGTCGCCCTTCTTTGGTAGTTTCACGAGGTAACCTTTCCTCCAGTCAGTAGGCACCTTTCCCTCCTTCCAGACCTTTTGCAATAATGGAGTCAGCATGTCTGCTGTAGTCTCTGGGTCCGCTTTCAGTGCTTCAGGGGGTATTCCATCTGGTCCGGCTGCTTTTCCAGCTTTCAGAAGCTTGATTGCGTTCAAGACTTCAGCTCTCGTTGGAGGATTGGTGTCAACTTGCAGTTGTGTGCGCGCTGTTGTTGGTATTTCTGGACGGGTTGCAGGTGATGGTCGGTTCAAGAGTCCTTTGAAGTGATCCGCCCATTGTTTAATCTGTTTTTCTTCCTTGGTAATGGGCTTCCCTTGGCTGTCTTTTATAGGTTTCGCTTGTGTTGGTCTCTTCCCGGATAGAGATTTGGTTATCTGATATAGTGTCCTCAGGTCCCTTTTGCCTGCTGCCTTCTCAGCTTCAGTGGCTAGGTTGTCGTAGAATCGTCTTTTGTCCTTCCTAGCACTCTTCTTCACTTCTTTGTCCAGTGCTTTGTAAGTTGAGCTCAGCGTCTCCTTCTCCTGTCCGTCCTTGCATTGAATCATTTTCTCTTTCACCATTCTCCTCTCTTCTATTAATTTCCAAGTGTCCGTTGAGAGCCATTCCTTGTCTTGTCTCTTCTTTCTTCCTAGAACCGTTGAACACGTTTCGTTGAGAATCGCCTTCAGAGACTTCCAATGTTCTTCCACGCATGATTCTTCAGTGATGTCGCGTAGTGTTTCCTGCTTTGCTCTGACAGTTGCAGTGAAGGTGTCTTTTGTGGTTGTGTCCTTCAGTAATTGAGTGTTGAACTTGCATTGTGGCCTATCCCCAGCTATCCTCGAGGCTTTTAGTTTCACCTTGAAAGTCCCTTCTACTAGATAGTGGTCTGAACCCACATCTGCTCCTCTCCTTGACCTTGTGTCCAGTAGGCTCCGTCTCCACTTTCTTGAAATTGAGATGAAGTCTATTTGGTTCTTGGTGTTTCCATCTGGTGAAATCCATGTCGTCTTGTGTATATCCTTGTGTTTGAACACACTACCCCAATCACCAAATCATTGAAGGCGCAGAAGTCTGAGAAGAGTTCACCATTGTCGTTCATTTCGCCGAGGGCCTCACGACCCATGGTGAGTTCTCTTCCTGTGTTGTCTCCTCCCAGCTTCGCATTCATGTCGCCCATCAGGATTTTGATATCGCCATTTGGGACGTTGTCCATTATTGCTTGTAGTTGTCTGTAGAACGCCTCCTTCTTCTCTTGTTCTGAGACGTTTGTAGGCGCATAACATTGAATGACTGTAACTTTCCTTCCTTTTGAGTTGAACCTGGCTGTCATTATCCTGGAGGAGATTGGTTCCCACTGCATGAGAGCTTTGGTTGCTGTTGGTGACATCATGATGGCCACTCCCTCGGTGTGCTCATGGTTGTCCTCTGGGTGGCCGGAATAGATTACTGTCTCTCCAGTAGGTAGTTGGCACCTTCCAGTTCCGTTCCATCTGCTTTCGCAGATTCCCAACACTTCTATTCTGTACCTTCTCATTTCAGCGGCTATCTGGGCAGCCTTTCCAGTTTCGTACATTGTACGAACATTCCAGGTACCCATCCTTACTTTTGCTTTCATCGAAAGAAGGCACATCGGCTGACTGGCTTCCCGAAGGCTTTCACCAGCCTGCGTCATTTCACTTCCCCGATTCCAGCGAAAAGTAAGGCTATTGCTTATGTTTTTAGAATTTTTAATATATTTATTCGTTGAAGTTTCTGTAGCGATTTGGTTGTTTTACAGGGGTGGAGTTGCTAGCACCACGCCCCAACCCTCCCTCTTTACCCGGGCTTGGGACCGGCGAGAAAACTAGTAAGCTAGTAGCCTAGCAAGCTAGTATCTGGCGAGGTTAAAAGGAGTGCGTCGGCCGGGGGTCGAACCCCGGACCATGTGATGATCGGCGAGCGTCCTAACCGCTATGCCACCGGCGCTATGTATGAAATAGACAAACTAATGTAGAAGAACTTACTTCAAATTAATATTTTCATATAAGAACAGGATTTGGGCACACTATGGCAAAGTATAATAAATACACACAGTAATCCAATTAGTAGTTCGTCATGAACAGATATTGCTTATTCGATCATAGTATGTGAGTGTACGAAGTTGCCTAGAGTTAGTGCCAGTGAGAATTCGTGACCAGTGATGTTCACCCGGTCAGGCGGGAGTGAAGACAAATAATCCCTAGCGATGACATTGGCTAGTGACAGTCACGCTAAAATCATCAATTGGTAGGAGTTGGAACTCTTGGACTGGCCAGTGAAAAGTCGACTCCCAGTGGCTAGCTGAATGGTCTACGAGATAGTTTTCTTTGTAACTGGGAGGTGGTGGGTTAAAACACTATCAGTGGAGTGGGTGTATGCTGCTGATGACTCACAAACTGAAGAGACGAAGCAGCTGCCTATCAGTACTTGAGTCCTGGTTTTCAATAGTCTTCTTACTGATATCAGTTCGTTATGAAACTGGACCAAGAACTCGAACTTAGAACGAAAGTACCACTATAAGATGACATAATGCTGGAGATGCAGCTATGCCTAACTTCCACAGTATTTATATTCCAAGGGAAAAGTACAAACAAACTGAGGGAGTGGCCATGGGATCACCAATATACCCCGTTGTAGCAGATATATTTTTGGACAGGTGGGAAAACATAGCAACTGGAACGTTCAGCCCCACTCCCTGTCGAAGTATGGTAGAGGTATGTAGGTGACACATTCACTGTACTTGGAACACAGGATATAGATAGATTTTTCGAACACATTGACTCAAAGGTGGAGGCAATTTAATTCACTTATGAATTGAAAAGTCAGGAAGGGGAGCTTTCAGTATTAGTTAGTAGCGTAAAAAGCAAAGAAGATGGGAAGTTAAACACGCTAGTGTTTACAGGGAACTCACACATTCAAACAGATATTTGGATTTCCCATCATCCCACCCTATGTCAGTAAAAATAGAATTGGTGAAATGTTTAAGTGATAGAGCACAAAAACTAAGTAGTAACAAGGAAAATCTAAGACACGAAGTGAGGCATATAAGAGAAGCCTTGAAACTTAATAATTATTCTGATAAATTAATCAGAAAACATGTAGGGAAAAGCAAAAAATAAAATAAATAATAATGATAGTGATAATAATATCATTAATGAAGACATGCATGCCAAACGTGCACAGATTAATGACAGCACCGACAATAAGAAATCGAAATCATCAATAGTACTACCATAGAAAGAAGAAACCTCGGAAACCACCTTACGGAGAATTCTTAACAATGCAGGCAAGAATAAAAGTGAATGGCATTCAAACTGCCCACAAATTCACTTAGAAACAAGCTTTTTCGCCTAAATGATCAATCCTGTGGAGCCAATTAAACAAGACAATTAAGTCTGTCTCATACCCTGCTGGAATGATTGACAGCCAGGTCAAAAACATATGTCAAAGTAGTATAATAAGTGCAGTCAGACTAGCTGTCTGTCTGGATTCAACATAGAACTTGGCACCGAAGTGCACCAGTTCGAGTTGCCACCTTCCAAATAGCACACAGAGGTAGACAAGAAGATGAGTGAAGAGAATCAATAGAGTTTGACAAGTATGAGAGTGAAACAGAATGGGTAATGGTAGAAAGGAATATGAAAGATTACAGAGACTGAATACATCTGCGCTGGTCATTGACAACGATTTTGAGCCATGTCACCTATTGTCTCCAGCCATTGATTCCTAGAGTCCCGAGGCCCCCAATCCGGGAGTCTGAATCTCCCTACCTGACTCAGTTTAAGTGTCAAGGATTTGATGGATTGATGAGGCCATGTTTTTGTTTGGCCACCACTGGCTCTTTTCCACCCTGAACCTATATCAGCTAGCAATGCCCGTCGGGGGAGGCGGTGGTTAGGCATGCGCACCACGTGACCTAGCCATCTTAGACTATGTAACTTTATAGCCTCGTCGATTGATTTTCCCTGTTTGCCCAACACTCTACGCCTAACGTCAACATTACTTACCTTATTAAACCACCTAACGTGAGACAGAGATCGCAGACTAGCGGAGCATAAAAACCTACCAATAAAATCTAGATTAATTGACCCGAATAAGACGACGACGACCAATAAGAGAGAACAAAGAAGACTATGAAACTCAAGTTTCGAAGTTGTGTGATTATAATTGGCGATATGATTATAAACAATGATGAATTGTGTTCGAAACGTCATCCAGTGAATAATAATACTGTTTCCCTGACTGTGTGATATACCTAATAAACAAATTAATACGGAATTACATAATACCACTGTGTTTAATTTTTACACATATAACTATGTAATTTGATGTTATTTAATTCTTCACTCAATTCCTACTTATATACTCATCATTCCTACTTTTAATTCTTGACTAGGGTACTATTGATTCAACTCCTATTGAAGAATTACCTAATAATGAATTACGCATTATTGGAAGCAGAGAAAATATATCAAATTCTACAACTGTTTTATCAGCTTCACATATGACTAGTCATGGAATGGCGAGTATTCAATTATCACTGAAATTAATTGCAAACCCCTCCAGTGATAAACAATCAAAGCTTCAACTTTATTTTCAGCCTGTTTTAAACAAAGATGAAATGACCTTCAATCATTTTCTTTTATTTTGGCATTCTTTAAAGAAAACAGAATTTACTGTGTTTATTTATAATCGGTAAGTTAAATTATGGAGTAAAAATGTGCTTTTCTTTTCTGTTTATTTCGACATATTACATAGTTCATCATAAAGTTGAAGATTGAACCTCATTATTTGTTTGAACGAGCCAGAATAGTTCAGTCGTAGCGTCTCTGACTGATTGACTGACTGCAACTGGTACTGGGTGACACGGGTTCGAATCTCAAAAAAGAGGGATATAAGTTCCTTCAGGGTTGTTGACAAGTGCCAACTAGCACGAAATCTAGGTCTAAGGTTTGCTGCCAACTACCTCCAACCATCTAATAGGATCATTATAATGATGGATCGGTGGCACAGCGGTAGACTGCTAACCAACTACGCCACACGCGGTTCGGATTTCGATCCCTGGCCACCGGACGCACTCCTTAGCTCTCTAAGCCAGTAATAAGACCAGTAAAGAGGGATCGTTGGCCGAAAGGCTAGCAACCCTATCCCGTAAAAATAAACACCACCACTGCTACCGAAACTTCAAAGCTCTAGCTTGAAGCTGTTCTATGTTACACTGGGAACGTAAAGAAATGAAAAAATGTGTTCGAACGCAATTATTATTATTCCTTCGATTGCGAGTGAAACAAACGGCTTAAACAGAACCTCTCCATTTTGTCCTATCCTTTATGGTCCTCTTAAGCTGTCCCACATCTGCGCATAATCTCTCATCTCCTCCTTGTCACTCTTCAACTGACGCCCAACTGGTTGATTCCCATTCGGGTTCCACTTTAGCTATAGCCTAACGTGTGATGTCACTCACTTGATGGTTTTCTCAGGGTATGGCGTCCAATCCACCTCCATTTCTCCCTGCATATTTGTTTCATGATCAGTTCCTGCTGGGTTTGTTCGCTTCCAGAGATCCCTCCTGGTTGCTGATCTTTTCTGGCTGGCCATCTGATCTTGAGTAGTGTTGAGCGAAGATAGCTGTTGATAAAGGTCTGTAGTTTGTTTGAGGTGCTCTTCTGAGTACTGTTGACTTCCACACAGACTGTTCTGTTCTGACGATATCGGAAAATTTGAGGGAAAAGTAACATCCCATTTAGTAAAACTTCTTTGCATCCATGTTTTTTGACAAAAAAAAGATTTTAATTCATTGAAACCCATGGGATCTGACTTTCCAAACCTTTATGGATTACCCAAGATTCATGAGCTTGAAAATCCATTACGTTCAATTCTACCAGTGTGTCATTCATCTACAAATATATTGTCAAAATAGTTAGCTGACATTTTAAGTCCAGTACGCAATGAATTATCCATGCTCTCTATGAGAGACACATTTGAAATTCCTAACTCTCTTGCAGACATAAATATAAAACATATGAAAATATGCTCTTTTGATGTTGATTCCTTGTTTACTAATGCACCATTGATTAAGACTGTTGATATGCAAATAATAGTTTGTATAGATTTGATTGACTGTGTAAAGGATTTCATCTTGTGCTAACATCAGTTAGAGAACCATTGGAAAACCAGTACTAGAGCCAGCTGTTTCCTCAGCTTAGTTTCGAACTCTCCATCAGCACGCACCTACCCCACTGGCAGCGTTCGAACCCAGAACCTTCTGGTTACAAGGCCAGAGAGCTCGTAGACTACTGAGCCTCTGGGACCCAATCCAGTGGCCAGCCCATGAATTCCAACTTCTGTGAATATTCTTTGTGACTATACATCTTCTAGTTACTTTTCATTCTATTTTCCTTTAACTTATTTGAAAGATTTATTACTATTATGTACTGAAAACGTCCATTTCACGTTTGTGAAGGTGAGCACTTTCGACAAGTGGCTAGTGTTGCTATGGGAAGTCCATTAGGACCTTTGTTGACGGATGTTTACATGTCTTATTGTTGAGAACTTGTCCCTTGATTAAATTTCTAAATTGCCATTCTTTTGGAGATATATAGATGATATTATTTTGATATGTGGTGATCATGAAGATGTGAGTCGTCTACTAGATAGACTTAACTCCGCACAGAATCATATGTCTTACATGCCAGGAAGAAATTCCTAACCACCTTGTATTATTAGATATACTTCTGAGTCGGAGAGATGATGGTTCAATAAGACGATCAATCTACAGAAAGCCCACTTGGACAAGGCGATACCTAAACGTTCACAGTTTCTGTCCATTACAGTATAAGAGAGGCTTGGTGAAATGTTTGTTTTAATAGGATTGAACGTATTTTCGGAGCTGATGCTTCAGAGAAAGGAAGTGAAATATTTATCTATACTCTTGTTGAAAACGGATATCCTCTAAAATTTTCAAACAGGTGTAGAAGTCAATTAATCTTTAAACCTACAATTTATACCGCCCCTAAGAAAGATGTTTTCATTAAATTACCATACAATGGAAAACTCAGTAGTAGAATTTTTTAAGACAAAGACTAAACTCCGCCATCCACAAACATATTAAGCATGCGGGCTTATAATCATCGAAATAACCAAAACTTTGCTGCACTACAAACCCCAAAAGTGCACAAGTGATTATGTCACATCCCATACTATATACTAATATACCTGTATGTGTGTGGGTGTGTGTGTAAGCAAGCATACATGGGGAAGAGTAACCGCACTTTGTATGTAAGGGTGGGAAAGAAACTTGGAAAGTCGACAGACGCAGGTGGCGGACTACCGATTTTGTCTATAGTTAAACATCTAATCAGTATGAACCACCGCAAGATTGATGTCAAAAGACAGTTTTTAAGGTTATTTTTAAAGACGCTGGGACGATATGGCTATGGTTAGAACTGTCTGCTAGCCAAAACTGATAGACAGCAATTGACGTCAATATGTTTACGTCCCAAATCTTGGTCATGAGGAAAAAAACAAGAACAAAGACTAAATCAACAACTAATCACAGAAGACTTGGCGTGGGCGGATACGATTCACAGATATATGGTCTGACCTTCAAAGAAACGGCTACAAAGAGATGACAGGATCACTTTCAGCAAGAAAACAACCAATCAGAAGACGCTGTTTCTCTGCTAATAATAACGAATAATAATTTACATAAAAATCTATAAATATCTCTTGATTTTCTCAATAAACGATCTGTTGTCTGACTCTTGTCTTATGCGGTTACATAGCTATTCCTAAACTTAAGCCTCCACCAACCCTCAACCTTGTGTGTACAAAAGCAATCTGTTATTAATCTTAACCCACCGTGGTAACTTTTATATAATTATATAATCAAAAGTAGGGTTAAATAATTCGCATTAAGTCCTTAAGTCTTTTTTGTCACTTTGTGTAAATATGTGATCAGATTGTTTTTATTGTTTTTGTTGTTGTTGTTCGAAATAGTATTGCCTAAATACACCACATCACAATTTTTCAGAGAATCTCCGTCTTCTAATAACAACACCATCGAAATTTATAAAAGAGACTAATTGTCTTACGTATTCAACTATATAAATCTTCATGCTATAAACTACAATCAAATAAAGTAGTTACATAAAAGCGATGCTGGGGACATCACTCGTACCAAATTCCCATGAAACTTCATGAACTCTCTTACAAATTGCCGCGCCTGGGCAGCGATGATTCGAGACGTTCATGAAGCCGGCTCATCCTCCCGTAGGAGATAGCCGAAGTAAAGTAAAGTAAAGTAAAACGGGTATAAATCCTACGAATGTTCATTCCTCAAGTGAATTCGCTCTTCTAAATAGAATAAAAGTGGTAAAAAGACCAGCAAGGCGTATCTGCAACCACATTGAAGGGACCGCTCATGTCCCTTTTGAGTTTCAAACCGGCGTCAGTCAGTCAGTCAGTCAGTCAGAGACGTTACCACTGAACTATTCGGTGAATTATTGCGATTGACCTCCTGTAGGACTGGGCGTATTAGATCATTTGACTGGAAACTAGTCAGTAACAAGTGTAATGTGTCTAGTCCCCCTTTGGTGCAGACTAAATTCTATCAGTCTATCTAACAACAACAATTCACAGTGTACTGTGATGTTGAGCCACTTAGTGCCATGTTGGCCACATTGCAAACTCGACTGAGAGAATTCAGTCTCCACCAGAAATAGGACCAGATACACATGGCACTAATTACTAACGATTGTCCATTCGAAAATATAATGGTCCTATTATTCAAGGATAAGTTTCTGGAGTGGGGGAGGTTGATTGATTGGTTACAGCATGTCATCATGAACTGACATCAGTTAGAGATCTATTGGAAAACCAGCACTAGAGTACTGAAGAGCCAGCTGTTTCCTCAGCCTAGTTTCGAACTCTCCATCAGCACGCACCTCTACCCCACTGATAGCGTTCGAACCCAGAAGCTTCTGGTTACAAGGCCAGAGAGCTCGTAGACTACTGAGCCTCTGGGACCCAATCCAGTGGCCAGCCCATGAATTCCAACTTCTGCGAATATTCTTTGTGACTATACATCTTCTAGTTGCTTTTCATTCCCTTTTTCTTTAACTTATTTGAAAGATTTATTACTATTATGTACTGACAACGTCCCGTTTCACGTTTGAAGGCGAACATTTTCGACAAGTGGATGGTGTTGCTATGAGGAGTCCATTAGGACCTTTGTTAGCGGACGTGTACATGTCTTACGTTGAAAACTTATCCCTTGATTTAATTTCAAAATTTCCCTTCTATAGGAGATATGTAGATGATATCATTTTGATATGTGACGATCATGAAGATGCGAGTCGCCTATTAGACAGACTTAAATCTGTACAAAATCATATTAGTCTTACAGGTGAGGAAGAAAGTCGCAACCAACTAGCATTTTTAGACATACTTCTGAGTCGAAGAGATGATGGCTCAATAAGACGGTCTATCTACAGAAAGCCCACTTGGACAAGGCGATACCTAAACGTTCACAGTTTCTGTCCATTACAGTATAAGAGAGGCTTGGTGAAATGTCTGTTTTAATAGGATTGAACGTATTTTCAGAGCTGATGCTTCAGAGAAATGAAGTGAAATATTGGTGGATACTCTTGTTGAAAACGGATGTCCTCTAAAATTTTCAAACAGATGTAGAAGTCAATTAATCTTTAAACCTACAATTTATACCGCCCCTAAGAAAAATGTTTTCATTAAATTACCATACAATGGAAAAGTCAATGGTAGAAGTTTAAGACAGAGACTAAACTCCGCCATCCACAGAACATATTAATCACTCGGGCTTATAATCATCGAAATAACCAAACTTTGCTGCACTTCGAACCCCAAAAATGCACAAGTGATTATGTCACATCCCATACTATGTACTAATATACCTGTGTGTGTGTGTGGGTGTGTGTGTAAGCAAACATACATAGGGAAGAGTAACCGCACTTTGTATGTAAGGGTGGGAAAGGAACTTGGAAAGTCGACAGACGCAGGTGGCGGACCACCGACTTTGTCTATAGTTAAACATCTAATCAGTATGAACCACCGCAAGATTGATGTCAAAAGACAGTTTTTAAGGTTATTTTTAAAGACGCTGGGACGATATGGCTATGGTTAGAACTGTCTGCTAGCCAAAACTGATAGACAGCAATTGGCGTCAATATGTTTACGTCCCAAATCTTGGTCATGAGGAAAAAAAACAAGAACAAAGACTAAATCAACAACTAATCACAGAAGACTTGGCGTGGGCGGATACGATTCACAGATATATGGTCTGACCTTCAAAGAAACGGCTACAAAGAGATGACAGGATCACTTTCAGCAAGAAAACAACCAATCAGAAGACGCTGTTTCCCTACTAATAATAACGAATAATAATGTACATAAAAATCCATAAATATCTCTTGATTTTCTCAATAAACGATCTGTTGTCTGACTCTTGTCTTATGCGGTTACATAGCTATTCCTAAACTTAGGCCTCCACCAACCCCCAATCTTGTGTGTACAAAAGCAATCTGTTATTAATCTTAACCCACCGTGGTAACTTCTATATAATTATATAATCAAAAGTAGGGTTAAATAATTCGTATTAAGTCCTTAAGTCTTTTTTGTCACTTTGTGTAAATATGTGATCAGATTGTTTTTATTGTTTTTGTTGTTGTTGTTCGATATAGTATTGCCTAAATACACCACATCACAATTTTTCAGAGAATCTCCGTCTTCTAATAACAACACCATCGAAATTTATAAAAGAGACTAATTGTTTTACGTATTTAACTATATAAATCTTCATGCTATAAACTACAATCGAATAAAGTAGTTACATAAAAGCAACGGGTATAAATCCTACGAATGTTCATTCCTCAAGTGAATTTGCTCTTCTAAATAGAATAAAAGTGGTAAAAAGACCAGCAAGGCGTATCTGCAACCACATTGAAGGGACCGCTCATGTCCCTTTTGAGTTTCAAACCGGCGTCAGTCAGTCAGTCAGTCAGTCAGAGACGTTACCACTGAACTATTCGGTGAATTATTGCGATTGACCTCCTGTAGGACTGGGCGTATTAGATCATTTGACTGGAAACTAGTCAGTAACAAGTGTAATGTGTCTAGTCCCCCTTTGGTGCAGACTAAATTCTATCAGTCTATCTAACAACAACAATTCACAGTGTACTGTGATGTTGAGCCACTTAGTACCATGTTGGCCACACTGCAAACTCGACTGAGAGAATTCAGTCTCCACCAGAAAAAGGACCAGACACACATGGCACTAATTACTAACGATTGTCCAATCGAAAATATAATGGTCCAAGGATAAGTTTCTGGGGGGGGGTTGATTGATTGGTTACAGCATGTCATCATGAACTGACATCATTTAGAGATCAATTGGAAAACCAGCACTAGAGTACTAAAGAGCCAGCTGTTTCGTCAGCCAAGTTTGGGACTCTTCATCAGTACTCACCCACCCCACTAACAGGGTTCGAACCTACCATTAAACCAATGGGACTCGCCAATCCAATGGCCACCCCGTTGAATTCCAGCTTCTGACAATTCATGACATAAGGTGACTGCCACTGGGCAATGTCATTGCTGGTGAGTATTTGTCCTCACACTCGACCTATTGGTAGACTTCAGTGTTCACGACTTCTCACTATAACCCCGAGTAACTACCTTGCTGAATAAGGCCAGTTGCTGGTGGGCATCTAATTGATATTCAAGTTTTGGATTGTAGGAATATGATTGATTGGTTACAGAATTCCATCATGAGTTGACATTGGTTAGGGGAGTACCTAAAAACCTGCATTAGAGTACTGGACAGCGAGTCGTTTCGTCAGCCTAGTTTGGAACTCTTCATCAGTATGGGTTCAAACCCTGGCGGTGGGTGTTTACTGGTGAAGAGTCCCAAAAATATAATGATCCTATAATTTGAGATCTCATTTGTTCTATTTCCACCTTTTTGTATCTTTTTTCTTTTGTTCCAGTACACATATAATTCAACATGAAACATCCACTACATCTATATGTCTAGAAAATTTGACAGAAGGAAGCAGTTATAAACTTTGTGTAACAGAAACAACCTATGCCTGTAAAAGTTCCTATTGGAATTGTATTATTAAAACTATTCCTACATTTAGACAGCAACAACAACAACAGCAAAAACAACACCAATCATTATTACCACCAACTACGGATTCCTCTTCATCTCCTCAGTCGCTGTTAACTATTCATCAGCCGATCATTACTAATTTAAAACTTATAAGTTCAGGTGGTAATTGGGTACAGATATCTTGGTTACCGTCAACAGCGTTAGCCAAATCTCAGCGACCGAATCAAATCCCTTATGCTTATCTACTTTTAGCTATTTCAAAGTCAAGAACTGTTCAGTGTTATGATCGAACCTATAGTATTCAAGCACCGTGGGTATGTTATCTTTAACGATGAGTTATTTATTTATTTTATTCCTTTATTTTCTTCCTATTGGTGGAACAAAGGGTGGTTTCAAGCTATAGCTTTGAAGTTTCGATAACAGCGGTGTCTATTTCTTCGAGGTGGGGTTGCTAGCCTCTTGGCTGACCTTCCTTCTTTACTGGTCTTATTATTATCGGCTACTGTCTGTCTGTTTTAGGCGTAGAACTTTGCACATATGTGCGGCAATTCAAATCGCCACACTCCATGTAGCACACAAAGAAAGAGAAGAAAGTAGAAGAAATGCATAATAGAGACAGTAAACAGAGGAGTGAGACAAAGGAATAGTAATAACGAAGAACAAAACGGTTTCATTGGAAATTATAAGTCACAGGGAGTGGATGCATCTGCATCATTGAGAACGATTTTGAGCTAGCCATATCACCAATAGATTATATATGTCCAAACCAAGTTCATTTTGAGAAAGCTATTAGCATTAAATAGCGAAATGTCAGTAAAAACAATATTGTTTTGTTTTTCATTCATTGGGAAATACAAAAACCTCTATTATAATGCATATCACCAATAGTTTCCAACCATTGGTTTTTACCGTCCCGTGGACCCCAACCAGGAAGTCAGTCTACACCTTCCTGCGTGGTTGGCTTAAACTAACTGTTGTGGATTTCATTGACTGGTGCCATGTTTTGGTTTGACCGCCGCTAGCTCTTTTCCAGCCTGACCCTATATCAGGTAACATTACCAGTCGAGGAAGGCGTGCATGCGTAACACATGTCCTAACCATCTCAGTCGATGTAACTTCACGGCCTCGTTGATTGATTTCCCTGTTTACCTAGAACTCGACGCCTAACCTCAATATTGCTCACCTTATTATACCACTTCACACGGGAAATAGAACGCAGGCACCTATGATCAAAGACAGCTTATTTTTTTCATGTCTTCCACTCTTAATGGCCACGTCTCGCAGCCATAAAGGAGGACGGAGCGGACTGATGAGCAGTACACCCGTCCTTTGGTCGATAATCGGATATCATATCTATTCTACTAAACATGAGAAAAAGCATTATCCTCGATGGTAACTTATCTCAATACATGAGATGACTGTTCGTGAATGGTGTCCTTCACTCACAAAATGTACTCCTTAACTTTTTGCCAATTGGAACTCAACAAAATGTCGTCTTGTATTTCTTGAAGGAGACAAAGAAGAGATATCATCATAATGGATTGGTTTATGCGCTTCAGGTCAGATAGAACTACATCACACGACCTACTGTCAATTGGTGTTATATTTAAATATTCTAGTCGAAAAGGAAATATTATGCAATAAATTATGCTGAAAATTTTGTATATCGCATGAATATCGTTTGAGAAACGATTGAGATGATGTGTAGCTCAGGTGGATGATTTTGATGTGGTTGTGTTCTCTTAGCTGGATAGTTTATCTGTGAAGCTTTTATTGCCCCAACACTAGGCAACATCTTCAGTTCATACTTCAATTTGAATTGATGTGAGGTTTTAGATTTCTCCACGAGTTCATTAGTCATCTGTCCTACTGGGTGACCTTGAACGTGATTGGTTATTTTTGTGCGTTTTCAAACCCTCTAGGCGGCTACTTGTATTGTAACTGATTGTTTCCTCGAATTGAACCTTGACTCTTTGTGTGTGAGAGAGAATTCCTTCTTATCGATTGGTAAATTTTGTCTATCTCCATGTGTGTCTATTGATTGACGATTCACTGGAATATCAGGCTTCTAAAATTCTTTTGCATTCTTGGTATTTCCTCTGTCTAATATTTGAACGTTCTCCGTGGTTATCTGTATGATGTGATATGAAGGAGTGGATGTCATGTCTTTTGACGGCTAGTTAGTTTATGATCATGGATATGAAGACGAAGAGTAGGGGCGTCCACTATGACCAGTGCAGTGTTTTTCGCGCAGTTGTTACAATTTTTTGTAGATGATGTTGTTTTTATCTTCTTTCACTGTTGAGTCTTTTGGTTGACATAGAGCCAGCTGAGAGGAGTGATTTTGTTGGTTTGTGTAAGACGTCAATTCCTAAAGGTCTTAAGAGTATTAAAGTGACTTCTGAGATATTTTTGTATGTAGTAGGGCGATTTTCTTTGTGCTTTCCTTGGGGAGCCTTTGATTTGGTAGGTTGATTTGCTTGAAGGTATATCTCTCTTGATGAAATTCCGTGGATATCTATTCTTTTGGAAGTATGAAGCTATTATTAATATTATTATTGGGAGATATATGGTTTCTTCTCAGATTTTTTCAGAATACTTTCGGGTATTCATGCTTATCCAGGCAGCTTTCCCAGAAGGAAATCTTCGCATTCGCTTCAACAAGCTTGACGGACAAACGTAGAAACTTATTCAGTTCCTTTACCGTCGAACTGTCCTTGCTCTTTTTCAAATCACCTTTTCCTGCAAGAAACTGTTCAGTTAGAACGCGAAAGACAAGCTGTCGCATTGGGCCACTTCAACGTGTATATACCAGTTTACTTGCTCTTGCGGGGTTGAGTACATCGGTCGTACCATGTGCCAACTTGAAAAACGCGCTAGTGAACATTATTATTATTATTAATTTATATCTAACAAACTGTTTTACACAGAACAGCTTTTAACGTTTAAATGAATCCAATATTTATTTATTTATTTACGATAAAATGATAACAATAGTATTTTTTTCTAAAATTTTACTTAGGCACATCATTTACAATCAAATTTAATTTCCTACATCCACAAAGTATATCATAGAATTTCAACTAGCTGCTTAGTGAATGAAATTCATAAAGAAATCGATACACTAGGCAATAGTTGGCCAGAATTGACAACTACCGTTCATCAGAAACATCAGATCAGCATTCAAGATGAATGGGGTTCATCACTGAATGAAGAGTATATTGTTAATTTGGAAGGGCTTATACCGCATGAAGAATATGAAATCAAAGTTCTACCTGTTTTTGAAGAATCCAATCCTGTTGAAGCTGATGAAATACTTGTGACTGGAAAATGTAAGATTTTGAGAAGTGGCTTCTTTCCTTCTTCTTCGTCTTTTGTGGTTTGTATGTGGACATCCATTTTGTGATGCTTTTGCGGGTGATTTCTTGGCATTTATTGCCTTTAAATGCAATGAAATAATTGAATAGTAGTCGGTTGAATGTCAGGTGTTGGTTTGTGGTTCGAGTCTTGTACTGAACCAGATTTCCGTTTTAGACAGATTCGTTCAAGGATTTCATCATGAGCTGACATCAGTTAGAGATCTCATGCTGACTAGAGACTGGTCCTATTTAGGCAGTTATCTGAGGTTCTAGTGAGAACTTCTAACCAGTAGGGTACAGCAGCAGGTTGAAGGTGAAACGGTAACTCATTGAAGAAGACATCGCGAAGTGGCTTAATGGTCTACGAGCTAGCTAGCCTTTTAGCCAAAAGGTCCTGGGTTCGAACCCTGGCAGTGTGTAGATGCGTGCTTATGAAGAGTTCGAAATTAGGCTGACGAAACCGCTGGCTATCCACTACTCTAGTACTGGTTTCCCAATGATTCATTAACCAATATCACCTCATGATGAAGTCCTCCAACCAATCAAACAAAAAATCCCTACAAAACCAGCACGTGAAAATTAGACAGATTCATCACTTTGCGAGTAAATTGGTGGTAGGTGAGTATCAGTGAATGGCATCCAGGATGCGCATTTCACCCCTTCCCTTTTTCGAACTGTTTCATCAGCTAACTGGATATACCTGCATTCCCCAGTGAGTGAGTGAGTGATGCTGTTCCCACTGAGGCTCGAACCCAGTACCCATTGTTTCAAACGGTAAGGTGGGTTATCTACTAGACCACTCGGCTCACGAGATCCACCTCTTTTACAACGAGTTTCCGTAACTGTTTAGTACAATTTGGACTTAACCAGTGATTAAGTGGACCCTGAAGTGCTCGGCCTTAGGTTGACATCTTGGCGTCTTGTAAAGATGCTTCAACGACGTCTGATTATTTAATTTGAAATAAACAGCTGGTCACCATCCACCAGTAATTTACTTCAAGTTAAATAATTAGGCATCTTCAAAGCATGTGCACAAGAAGCCGTCAGTTCAGTCTGAGGCCGAGCACTTCGGGGTCCAGTCAATCAACGAGAAAATCTGAAGTCAATGAAAGATTCATCAATCTGTTGCAGAAACATTAGTTTGCCTATTCCTTTCTCCTCAATCCTGTACAATCAGAATTGGAAAGAAAATAATTAGCCTAACAGTAAGTATGATAGTTATGTTGACGTTGCACAGACACAAATTCTTTCCTTAGTTAAACAAAATTGAGACTTTATGAACATATTGAACTGTTGCTCATTAGTGACTGGCCCTACTCAGTTAGGTATTTACCTGGGTCCCAATGGGAAGTCGTGACCAGTGGTATACACCAAGTCTGGTGTGAGGAAAATAATCGCCAGCTATGTGACATTGGCTGGTACAAATCGCGTTAAATTTTAAATCTTTAAATATTCTCATTATCAATATTAGAACAAGACATATAAACGAACAATATTGCTGTTTTCAATTAGATCTTCTTCAGGCTTTACTCTAATTTACATAGATTTATGCATAACTTTTTTAACCAATGACGGTGATTTTGTGGATCAAATAATAATAATAATGTGGTAAAGGTTTTGAACGTAGTTAAAAACGATGATTATAATGATAATAAAATAATGATAATAAGGTTTATGTACGTGGCGTTAGGAGGAATAACAAAGGTAGTAAGTAATATGTATATATGTAGACAATTCAATAAATAAATTCGTTCAAATCTTAAAAGTTACGTAATACTAAAGGTGAATTGGACAGATAGACAGAGTTTAAATAAATACCATAAAAGTACGAAGGAAATGTAAAATAAGAAAGGGTGGGAGGGTTTTGAGTAGAACTCACCTACGCCAGGCTAGGGAGAGACAAATGTAGAACAAACTTCCTTTGTACGCGACGACACTGGGATTGTTCTCTCGCAGTCCAATAGCTTCAGTTATGTCTAAAAGGCGGGTTTGAATTCCATTCGAAAGGCTCGATGGAATGCGATAAGTAACTATTTCTGTCCACTTGGTGGCCGCTATCATCAATCAAATGAGTCAAAATAGAATTTCTTATAAATTTTATTTGGCCTTTTCCGAACCATGAAGAAAGATGCTCAATAATACGTTTGTTAAGGTGTCTAGTTGTTCGCCCTATATAGCCAGCCTTCTCCACAGGAACAACTAAATTTGTAGATACACACATGTAAGTGACACAGCTAGCTAGGTGGTTTATCTTTCTCTTGAGCAATCATAATTGGTCAACAGCTGGAAAATGACAAACAAAGGGTGGCGGCGGTGGTGGCGGCAGTATAAGTCCGTTTTATTGCTCTCGGTAATCTCAAATGTAAGACTTCACTAGCCATGCGCCCATTCAATTGAAGTTTTAAGAACAGTTGTTTCTTTTCAAATGTTGTCAGTTTCGCTTTATCATACATGGTGTTCATGGTGTTCTCCTTACAAATCTACTAGGATAACCTATTTGGGAGTTGGAATTCATGAGCTGACCATTGCATAGAATCTCTCAGTAACTGAATATTTGATTAACTAGCCCAACTAGTAAAGTGTAAAGGCTATGGGCTCGAAACCTGTCAGTGGGGTGGGTGAAGACTGATGAAGAGTCCAAAATTAGGCTGACGAAACATCTAGCTGTCTATTACTGGAGTGCTTGCTGGTTGTTGCAATGTTTCTCTAACCGATATCAACTGATAATGAAATCCTGGAAACCAGCCAACATATCTGATGATCAACACTTGTGTAGTTGAGTTTGTCATCACAACTCTTTCCGAAATGCTTGCCTAAACTTTATCTCTCAAGAACAATTGCTTTTTTTTGTATTTTCCTCCTCATTACAGTGAATCCTTCTTTAGATTGTAATTTAACACTTGAAGATATTTCTAGTGACAGAAGCCTTATTAAATGGAATTTACCACATACAATAGAATCTAAATTGTTGAACACTGAACATATCATGTATGTAGTTCAAATTTCATTGATTGGTAGACCAGAAAAAAAGCTGCAACAGACATGCTTTATTTCTACTTGTCCATATGTAAGTATTTATTTCTTTTTTTGTTTTATATATTGCGAAATTTGAAATGAAATCATTTGAGTTTATTTCTAAAGACGGAAAAATAAGCTCACAATTTAAATCTCGAATATATATTCAGTAGACTAACTTGTCTAGAAAACAGTGGGTCTGGCAATTTGCAATTCATTGTGTTCTCTGAGCTGGTTGGCGATTTAATTGCTCAGCTTTCATTTTTCCCCTTCAGAGCAAGTTTTAGCATTGAATAAACTGATTTAAATTCTCCATGAGTGATAGAATGGCGTCTCCCGGTAACCATCTTTATAAATGTATTGATCATTTTTTACTGACTTGGATTTTGAACTTTCTCGTCCTGTGTTCTACTTTTTATCAGTTGATAAATTTTGTCTGTATGTTCGTCAATATGTTTCTTAATCGCTGATTTTCTTGAGTACCAGGCTTCTAGGAATTCTCGGGCACTTTTGGTTGGGGAAAATAGTTTTCCAGAAAAGTTTTGTTGATAACAAGATGAATGTAAAATCAAAGCACCATAAGGTGCCAGCAGTTCCTAAAAAGGCCTTATTCTTACAAATTCAGTTCCTTGGGGATAATGTCAGCGAGATACTAACACAACGCCGCCTTAGGAATGCACTTAAAAAGCATTCCCTGCTGCTGAATTACGCCGTGTCTTCAAAACCATCTCTATTTTGCGTTCAGAAGTAAAAGACCAACTGCCTAATTTCGCTGCATCCATGTGCATCTACCAATTTAACTGCTCCTGTGAAGTGAGCCAGTTAGTTGCATAGGCCGTACAATTAGGCGTGTTTCTTGTCGAATTTCCGAACATCACTCTGCATAGTGGTTAAGTAAAGGACAAACAAAATCTATTCGCAGTGCTATTCTATCTCATCTTGTGGATACACAACACAAGATTGATGTTAACCATGCTTTCAGGGTTATTTACCGCATACCAACAAATCCTAACTTCGCCTCAAGAGTTCGACTACTAAATATTTCTGAGGTTGGCCGTTGGGATCCACATTAAGAAGCCTAATTTGTGCATCCAAAAGAGGTTAGTTCAGACATTATCCTTACCCTCTTGGCCATCTAGGTTTGAATGATCCTCAATTTTTGTGGAATTTTCCTAATTTTAGTTGATATTCTATTTCCTACTATATCTTTATTGTTACTATAATTTAAGCATCTTTAATGAACTGTAATTCCATTGTGATCTTACTTTACAAATCGATATTATTTGAGAAAAAACACTAATATAGTTATTGACTACTATTCTAGAATATTCTCTGTATATAAACGTATACATGTAGTTGTAGAGCCAGAAGAGGAAATTATCGAAAAAGATATTCTTTACTCAATTATTTCGAGTTTTATAGATGTCTGAATGAATATTTTTGCTACATTTAAAATTTCTACATTATCCCAACCAAATTAATGTCTATAACTATCTACACTCATCGATATGAAAGAATGTATATCATGTCTTTTCACATGTAATTTATATTCTTGGATTCTGATTCGAAGGAGACGCCCACCTTCTTTCTTGTTGGTGTTATGACTCGAGCTTAAACACTTTTTGGTGATTTTTCCCCTGGGAGATTTTCCAAAGGGGGGGGTACTGCTCATCAGTCAGCTCCCTCCCCCCTTTTGGGTTTGAGACCCGGGCCCTGAGAGTGGGAAACATGAAAAAACTAGCTGTCTTTTATCATAGGGGCCCGCGCTCTATTTTCCCTGTAAAGTGGGATAAAAAAGGGAGCAAAATTTAGGGTTGGGGTCGAGTTTTAGGGAAAAAGGGGAAATCAATCGACGAAGTCGTGAAGCTACAAAGACTGAGATGGTCAGGACATGTGTTACGTATGCCAAGCCATCGCCTCCCTCGACGAGCAATGTTAGCGGATATAGGGTCAGGCTGGAAAAAAGCTAGCGGCGGTCAAACAAAAACTTGGCATCAGTCAATGAAATCCACAACAGTTGGTCTAAGCCACGTAGGAAGGTGTAGACTTCCAGGCTGGGGTCCTCGGGACGGTAAAAATCTATGGTTGGAAACAATTGGTGACATGGCTCAAAATCGTTCTCAGTGGCACAGATGCATCCACTCCCTGTGACTTATGATCTTCAATGAAACTGTTTTGTATTTCTTTATTACTCCTTTGTCTCACACCTCTGCTCACTGTTTCTATTATGCTTTTCTTGTACTTTCTTCTCTTGCTTCGCGTGCTACACGGAATGTGGCGACTTGAACTTCCGCACATTTGTGCAAAGTTCTATGTCGAAAACAGACAGACTTTTTGGTGAAATTGTGAGGGAGAAATCCATTTTTTTCAAAAGACTGTTAGTGGTAGGTATTTTTCTTCCATTCTTTTCAACACCGGAGTAGTGCTACAGTGTTGGGTTTGAACTCTTATAAACAATGTCTGAACACAGTTTCTTCTGTAGGTAATTGGGTTATTACTACTACAGCTGTGTATTTGGTCTGTGTACATTGATTTTCTGAATGTTTGTGTTTCTAAATCTCCTATGTTAGTTCTCTTGATTAAGACATCAAAGAATGGAATTTTGTCGTCTAATTCGTCTTCTTCTCTTGTGGTGAATTTAATATCTTTAAAATATGTTGTTTATTAATTTGTGGATATATTTAAAATCATTTCTTTTAATTATTATAAATGTATCATCAATATAACGTACCCAAACTTTTGGTTTAATTATGAGTAGGGAGGGCTATTAATTCTAATCTTTGTATGACGGCTTCAGTTATTAATCCTGATATGGGCAATACAATTGGTGTTCCTTTTATCTGTTCTGATATTTGAGTGCTGAAATGAAAGTATGTTGTGAGACAGTGAGTCTTTGTATTGTCTGTTGTTTCTGATTTACTCTTGTTTGTATTATTATTATTGTTCCCTTGGGTGAAGCATACGGCTTCAACAACACATTTCCACATTGTCCTGTTCTCTGAGGTCCTCTTAAGCTGGGACCACGACTGTCCATAACCTGTCATCTCTTCTCCTTGACAAACGATCTCCTCCATGTCACCATTGGACTAACGCTCAAACGGTTATTTTTCATAAGGATTCCATTCTACCGATGGCCTGCCCTGAGCCCAATGTCACTCAACAGTCTCCTTAGTGGCATTTGCCCGATCCATTCCCTTTTCCCCTCCTACATATTTGTTGAGCGATACGTTTTGAGTTGGTTTGTGTTCATTATCAGAGATTCTTGTTAGTAATTCTTCCAACTGAGTAGAAGAGAGAGAGAGATGTCTATAGAAAACCTACATCTGTAGGACAATATACACAATTCCTCAGTTTTGTACCAATCCAATACAAAGCCTATTTGGTCAGATACCGCCTCACGAATAGAGCAAGACGTATCTGTACAGATGACTCCCGACAAAATGAGTTAGTATGCATCCAAAATACGCTGGTCCAAATGGGTTATCCTAGTAGATTTGTAAGGAGAACACCATGTATGATAAAGAGAAACTGACAACAGTTGAAAAGAAAAGAAACAACTGTTCTTAAAACTGCAATTTAATGGGCGCATGGCTAGTGAAGTCTTACATCTGAGATTATCGAGAGCAATAAAACGGACTTATACTGCCGCCACCGCCGCCGCCACCCTTTGTTTGTCATTTTCCAGCTGTCGACCAATTATGATTGCTCAAGAGAAAGACAAACCACCTAGCTAGCTGTGCCACTTCCATGTGTATCTATAAATTTAGTCGCTCCTGTGGAGAAGTCTGGCCATATAGGGCGAACAACTAGACAGCTTAATAAACGCAATAATGAGCATCTTTCTTCATGGTTTGGAAAAGGTCAAATAAAATCTATGGGAAGTTCTATTTTGACTCATTTGATTGATAGCGGCCACAAAGTGGATAGAAATAGTGCCTTCAAAGTTATTTGACCATTTCTATTTTTACTGATTGCTTGTTATTATGCGTTTGAGTATTGATAAAATTTTGATCACAACAACAACGTACTCATCAGATTCTCGTTTGAACACTGAGACAGTATTGAAAGCACACTTAAATTATAATCAACTGTGATCACGGATTAATATCAGTTAGAGAACCATTGAAAACCAGCACTCAAGTACTGACAGACAGCTGCTTCGTCCTCTTTCCCCCCCCGCCCCCCCTCGCAGTTTGAGAGTCATTAGCATTACCCACTCACTACCCATAGCCTTTCAGTTGTAAAGAAAACTATCTTGTAAGTTATTCAACCAGACACTGAGACCCGACTCCTCGATGACCAGCCTATGAATTCTAACATTTAGCGCAACTGGCATCAGCTAATGTTATCGCTGGCGAATATTTATTCTCATTATCAACAGGGTGGATCCCACCGGTCGCGATTTTTTTGCTAGAAATGCAGGCGGGTAACCTCGTTTTGCAGCTAGTCACCAGTCTGCATCGGATTAATTCAGTTTTATTAGCTAATGGTTATCCGGAAAACGTTATCACTTGTCACAGTAAAAAAAAGCCACATCTCGAAAAGACAGCTTCTGTACCAAAGAAAGCTATCTTTATTAACCTACCATTCAAGGGTGACCAGATTATTCAGTTGACAGCTGAAAGATTTCGGTCAACCTTCAGATGCACATTCTACCCTGCATCTCTTTTTCTCACTTGCCGAACATTTTCGATCCGTTTACCTACGATTAAAGGACGAAATTCTGTGGACTCTAATTCATCAAACTGTATCTACAAGTTCATCTGCAGCTGCGGTGACACCTATATAGGTAGAACCAATAGAATCTTCCAATGTCGTCGAAAGGAACATGATTCAAAATGGTTGTTTAGACGCATAGAAAATCCCAATGCAATTAATCTGAATGGAAATTCAGCATCATCCATTGCAAAACACTTACTAATGTCAGGTCACAAAGTCAATATTAATGACCGTTTTTCAATTATTGTATCACATAACTCTAATTCAAGGTTATTGAAGGTGATGGAAGCCCTCTGGATTAATCACATGTAGCCTAAACTGTGTGTACAAAAAACAATAGACTTCAGTCTTCCCCTACCAGGGACTACTTACCCTATTTAAAAAAATATTTGGTCATTAGTTTGTATTTTTTTTTTTATAAAACTAAAAAATTGTCAGAAATTTTTTTTATTTTTTTTTACCAAATTAAATTTAAAGCGGTTTTAAAAAAAATAAGAAAAGAAGAAATCATCTCCCAAAATTTTTTTTTTAAAAGCCTTTTTTAAATTTATCAAAGGGGCTAATTGTTTTATTTCTAAAGAGTTTGTTTGTAAGTAGTTGATTTGTTTCATGTTATAGTCACGGATTGATGTCTGTTGGAGAACCATTGAAAACGAGCACTGGAATACTGATTAGCTGTGGGTGTGTAGTGTTGATGGGTCCAAACTAGTCTGACGAAACAGTTGCATACTCCAGTTTTCAACTAATTTCTTTATCAAGGCTGGTCGGTGGCACAGTGGTTAGGGTGGTTAGTTACCTAGGTTCTAGTGATAAGTCGTGACCAGTAGGGTGCAGCAGGTCGGGTGTGAGGACAAATACTCGCCACTGAAGACATTGGCTAGTGGTCGCGCTATGTCGTGAATTGGCATACGTTGGAATTCATGGGCTCGCCATTGGATTGTCGGGTCCCACTGGCTTAGTGGTCTGCAAGCTAGCTGGCCTTGTAATCAGCAGGTCCTGGGTTCGAACCTTGACGGTGGGGTGGGTGAGTACTGCTGAAGAGCCCCTAACCGGGCCGACAAAACAGTTTTCCAGTACTCTAGTGCTGGTTTTCCAATGGTTCTCTAACCGATATCAGTGCTCATGATGAAATCCTGTAACCAACCAATCAAATCCTTACAAACCAATACTTGAATATTTCAGATTACTTGCCTTTTGTATTTCTCTACAATAATAGACTAATTGGTCACAAACGCTAAACTTTCTACCACAAATGGAGAATGAACCACAACGTTTGAATTGTTTAAAAGCTGAGATTCCTTTCAGAAAAGACAATAGTTTTATAATAAACTGTCAGCTACAACCCTGTAAAGTGTATGAAATAAGTGTTGCTATTCTTCAACAGAATAAGTATGTAGAAGAATTCAAATGTAAACGACGTTTCATGCGAAATGGATCACGTAAGTTTGGTATTATTATTACTATTATTTCTATTGTATTATTATTATTATTATTAGTGGGTAAAGCATAGATGATTGCATAAAGTCCGACTGAAACACAAACAGACGAGCGTAAGAACCTTTCTTTCCACAGAGCTCGTTAACTTACTGACCGTCAGAAATGCGATGGATAATGACAACACCAGCAATAACGAATCTAAATCATCAGTAGTATTTCCATACAAGGAAGGAACCTCGGAAACCACCTTACGCAGAATTCTTAACAAGGCAAGAATAAAAGTAGCTGGCACTCAAACCCACAAATTCAATTAGAAACAAGCTTTGTCGGTTAAGGGATCAATCCTGTGGAGCCTTTAAAACAAAACAATTTAGGTTTATCTGATACCCCGCTGGAATGATTGTCAGGTCATATACATAGGTCAAAGTAGTAGAACGAGGTCAGTTAGTCAGACTAGTGAAGCACAAATACCTAACAGCAAAGTCTAGATTAGTTTACCCAAATAAGATAAGAAATCTGGAGAATACTTAGCTCAGCTATAGCACTCACTACATACAATTTCACACAAACATATAATCGGATCATGGGATAAGATGACAGTTTTAAAATGTAATATCACAGGGTGGAGGAGAGATTGATAATGGAAACTTTCTTTATCGAATCAACTGGAGAGAATACGTGTAACAGAAATGATTCAACACCTATGCAGTGGGACATCTGAAAAATTCTACTACCCTTACGACGACGAATAGGAGAGAACAAAGGGAACTATAAAACTGAAGTTTCGAAGTCGTGTGATTATAATTGGCGATATGATTATGAACAATGATGAATTGTGTTCGAAACCTTGTCATCCAGTAAATAGCACTGTTTCACTGTGTGATATATCCATCTAATTAACAAACTAATATGGAATAACTTACTGACTAGTTGCAACAAAGAGCTTTGCAAAGATGTGCACAAGTTTCACTTGCCACTCTCCCTCCATTCACCATAGACGCACACAAAGCAAGAGAAAACAGTAAACATAGAGATTCGAAAGACAGATACTAAACAGAATTATGAGGAAATAACAATGGTAATATGGTGGAAGAACAATAAAGGTTGACTGGATAGGACTGACAAATCACAAAAAGGAGTGAATGCATCTGCACTGTCATTGACAACGAGGGTTTTGAGCCATATCACCAGTTGCCTCCAGACGCCTTCACTGCTTTTTTGCCACCATCCCGTGAATTCAAACCAGCCAGTCAGAAAGTCTACACCTCTCTTCCTATGTGACTAGCTGGTTGGCTTAAACTAACTGTTATGGGTTTATTTCACTGACTGATGAAGCCATGTTCTCGTTTGACCCTCAAGAGCCAACTCTTTCCCAACCCTAATCCATCCTATGTTGAGGAAGGCGGTCACTAGGCTAGGCTACGCATGTGTTTTACATGTCCTAAATATCTGCCGCAATCCATGTAGTTGTTGCACACCCTCGTCTACTTATTCTACCTCTTCCTTACCCAGCTAGCACTCCACTGAAGCCTAACCACCTCAATATTGCTCATCCTATAATACCACCACCTAACACCAAAAAAAACAAACTTGGGAGATAGAAGGCAGACAGTAAGCCAGACAGCTAGCTGGGCTTTTGACTTTCAGGCTTCCACTTTGAACTGGTGCCATATCTCACTCACAGCTAGCCAGCCATCACGGTGGATAGAGCGAAGTGAGTAGAACACACGTCTTTGGTCGACATCCAGTTATCCAGCCAGCTGGATATCATGTCTACAAAGCGAGATATGGCGTAATTTGGCAGGCAAATGCCACACTAGCCTTGCGCATCCGCTCTGAGATTCCATCAGCGATCAAACCGTTGGCACTGTCTGATGCAACCTCCCCTCTAAATATCAGAAGTGGTCGATATGCTCCATCAACCAATTCACTCTTGCTCCCTCCATCTTCAAGCTAGGAGTGAGTCGATGTAATCCAGTTCAGTCCAGTCATGTAACCTCCTCATCTTATACTTGACAGTATATCAGAAAAATGCAAGTCGGAACTACTCATTGGACACAAAAAATGATCTGATTCTTAGGAATTTTGTATAAAGTGTAGTTCTGTCGAAAGGATATGTGATGAAAGTCTCACACTCTATCAGCAAAAGCTGATGAGTCCAAAATAGGACGAAATTCACATCCTGAATCACACTGATTAGCCTCTACTAAACAAGTAAACCTTTAGAAAACTATTAGAAAAGACAACTAATTAATCTCTTTCAGTTTTCTTACCAAAATACCGGTTTTCGCTTATTCCAGCTCCTGAACCACCTAAAAACGCTTATGCTACACCACTAGCTCAAAATGTATTACTGTTAGAAATGGACAAGCCAAAATCGTCTACATTTCATCATTGTAGTGTTGCCGGTTATGCTGTCTCCATATATACTGAAAAAGAAAATTTCAATGTATGGCCAAACAATTATGCCCTTATCGAAATGAAAGATTTACAAATGATTCAACAACCATCGTCTACTTATGACCAACATAGCACATCAACACGTCAACACTTCTTTATCAGTAATCCGCACATTTTGGCTAAGCATATTTTTGTTCGAATACACAGTATTCCATTTAATGGTAAAAACTGGATTGATCTGAGTATCCCATTGTTGAGTACAAGTAAGTTGTTTTTTACTTAGTGTGTTTTATTATTTCAATTAATTCTGTAGACTACTAGTATCTGTAATTTTAAACAAGTGTTTATATTGCTTAGAAAGTTATTTTTCGGTAGAAGAAGGGCTAGTAGTGGGTTTCGACCCATTCGTGACTCTTCGGCCGAATTCACAGTCAGACACCTTGTTCCCGCTGAAAGTCAAAACTAGCATCGACCAGTTCAAATATAGTTTCTTTCCTCGTGGATGATGACTGGCAGTAGAATCCTAGAATAACGCACATTTCGTCCTATTTGGGACTTGTCAGTTGGATGTTGGCCAAAGAGGCTTAGTGGGTGACCCTCTTTGGAGTTAGAAACTATTGGTACTGGGTTGCAGCCCCGATGGGAACACCATCATTCACTAGGGAATACAGGCACGATACATTCAGCTAACGAACCAGTTCCAAATAGGAGGGTGAAATGCGCGTTATCCTAGATTTCACTGCAAGTCCTTGTCCATCAATTTACTTCAGGATAAATCGTCAGACATTGTTGAAGCCTCCGCATAAGGAGCTAACATGTCAACCTGAGGCTGAGGACTTCAGCCCGATCAATCAACGGGAAAATCCTATTCTCCTAAAACCTTACTAAGTTCATTATCTGCAGAGTAGAATGAAGATTAATTACTGACATTGTAATGTTATGTAATGGCAATGAGTAAATGTAGGTTAATATGTAGATATAATGAGGTAGTATTTTTCTAATGAGAACTGTAAGTTTTATTTCACCAATCATCTTCGGCAGTATCTTAATTTTTTGTTAAGATTCACATATTTCAACAGTGTTCTACACAATAAAGATGAAAGTGGATCATATTAATTCTTTCCTTCAATTGAATTTTGAATCCCTGGTCAGCTTATGTTCCAAGTGATTAAAGTATTAATCTGGATAATGCGTTGTTTCCCTAGAAGTGGTTGATTAAGACTTTTTCTTTGGATTCTCGGGTTCTGGAATATAGGGCTTCAACACCACATCTCCATTTTGTCCTATTTTCTGTTCTCCTCTTCACCTGGGCCCATGATTGCCCATAATCACTCATCTCCTTCTTCCACAATTCCCTTCATATCTGCTTCGGAGTGACTCCCCATTCGTCTTAACTTCCCATTCAGTTTCCCCGTCGACTGATGATCTTCAATTACCACTAAGTCACCCGGCGGTCGCCTCAGTGACATCCTCAGTAGTGCCCAATCGATCTCTACTTTCTTCGGAATATTATTTTTAGCGATGAGTTAGTTCTTGGTTGGTTTTTCTTCCCATACTTTTTTGTTGCTAATTCTTTCTGACAATTTGATGGAACCAGATCAAGAGGCAGCTGTTTTAATAGAAGTCTACACTGATCTGTTGGAAATCCTTTTGGTAACGCGTTGGACAAGTTTCTGACTCACATAGAAGTGTGGAAAATCCGAATTTCATTCTTTGTCCTGAGTGTGTGTAGAGTATTTGCTGCTTCTCCGACTGTATTTCTAAAATCTTCATCCATGGTGTCGCCTATGGTTAAAACGATGCTTCCTAGCCAGATAAGTGAAAGAAGTAACCTCTTTCCAATTTCTTTTGTTGACGGTGATTGGTGCTGGTTGTTGTTGTTGTCTGGTTATCTATGTTCATCTGGAGTCCTGTTTTCACTGACTGCTTCTTCAGTCATTTTGTTGATCTTCGACTGCAGTTTTCGAGTTAGTGTGAAATTACACATAATTAATTCAAGAAGTCCAGATCGTCAACAGTCATCTTATCGATCCAGCAGTAAAACTGTTAGTCCCAATGCTTTTCGAATACCATCCGCTCGTTCACCTTCAGTGTTTCGTCCCATTTTGGATATAATCAGTCATGTTTCATTTAAGGAATCTCATCTGTATTTCTGTTAATATTCTGGAATCGACATGATGTTGTATATTGCTAACAGATCGATATTAAATATAATAATTTTTCCTTCACGTTCCCCTGTGGAACATAGGGCTTCAAGCTAGTGGCTTGAAGTTTCTGTAGCAGAGTTTATTTTACAGGATGAAGTTGCTAGCCTCATGCCCAACCTTTCCAACCAGGATTATTTCTGGCTTAGCGAGGTAAAGGAGTGCGCCGGCCGGGAATCGACCCCCGGACCATGTGCATGGTCGGCGAGCGTGCTAACCGCTATGCCACCGATATTAGTAGTTTGAAACCACCCAAGCCAACGCCAAATTCACTTGATACCCAGATCTAAACACATTGGACGATTGTTTCGCTTGTTTGCAAATCAGCTAGTCAGAGGTGTTTCCATATACTGCCAAATGTCTGTGGTATTTTACTATCACTCTATTTCGCCTAATTTAATGATTACCACTAAGGGTAGCAAGCAGATATCACACAGCATAATTATCGCAACAATTCTGAATTCAAAAGAAACTTGTACTGAACTGTCACTTCGAACTGTGTGTAATTTGCTAATGGCGAAGATGTCTGTGGCTATTATTGATATTTGTTTCTACTTTGTTACCAAACAACTGTCGATTTCATCTGCTTTTGACTCAGTTATGTTCAGTGTCTGAGCTGGTTGATTTAACTGCGAAATGTTCGTTGTCCCCCACCCACCTCCCTTGTAGGCAACATCGATTCAGCTCAGGCTTTAATATGAAATGAACTGACTTGAATTCTCCATGAATCATAATAATATCGTTTTCGCCAACTGACAAACATTGTCGTAATTCCTTGTTTGTTAATTTACATGTCTATCGTTCAATTTTGATGACTTGGAATTTGAAATCTCTTGTCAGGTGATTTTATTTTTTATTAGATAGTAAATTTGGTCTATTAGTAGTAATGTGTTTGCTGATCGCTGATTCATTCGAGTTCCCACGCTGACAGAAATTCCCTGGTGGCATTTTTCCTGTTTCCTCTATTTAAAATTTCTACATTATCCTAATCACCAGATGCCAAAGTTAAACTTTCGACACCACTAACAACCAATCAGCAAACGACCTCGAACGGACCAATCACATTAAAGAGGCATATATGATGAATGGAAATGTATATTCATAGAAAAAAGCATAAAATAGATAATAAAAAAGGTTACATGGGATATCTTTCTTGAACATGTGAGAGAAAAATCTCCCAGTTTAGCATGAGACTGTCAATTGAGAAGTTACACCATATCCTGTACATATATTCATCCAAATGACTATAAATGAGATCCTTTTGAGATCCGTTTATAGCCCTTATCCTATTTTCCAACCTGTCCCAAAATCCTTCATTAGAATTTGTATGTGTCCTCGTAACGGAATCCACAAAATCACTTGAATGGTTGTCTCTACGATGAATATATCCCAGAGATGACAGCGAATTGTAGCCTTTCCGTGTGTATAATTGACCCCCGCTTAACAATTCTGGTAACAATAGGTATAAGAGTAGTTGCTCTTCTATCTGCTATCCTTAGGGAGAGAAGCGACCTAGCGAAAAAAGTTCCTACGAAATAATAAAATTATTAGCATACCCTCTCTAGTGTTAGTAGGCTTCAAATATATAGCACAACGATGAACAAACCCATCAGTTGATTTGGTTTAGCTTTTTAAAGTCATGATACCACCACACAATCAAATTCGTTCTTTCCGGAGCAACTGAAATCTAGGAAATATTGGGAAACACTAACCTCCTCGAATTGCAACAACAGCCTTGTAAGGTCACGGATTAGAAATGAATCAAGCGCTATACAACATTGGACTGCGTTCGTGAACCTCATTGGATAATTCGACATCGTTCGTGAATCTCATTGGATAATTCGCTGATTGGTAGTTAGTGGTGTCGAAAGTTTAACTTCGCCCACCAGATTTGTGTTCGTAACTCTCAACACACATCGATATGAAAGAAGAATGCATATCATGCCTTTTCCCCTCTTGATTTATGTTCTTGGATTCGGACATACAGGGAACGCCCACTTTGACCGATGTAGTGTCGGTGGTATTAATCTTATCTTTTTTCTCTATCAGATCTTCTGGTTTACACACAATATTGAATGAAGTGATTGTACTGGTTGGCTTGTGTGCTGTGTTTATTTCAAACGGTTTTAATATTCCAACAAAATTAGTCCCTTTGATAAATTTGAATAAGGCATTAAGAAGACAAATTTCGCGAGATGATATCATTTCGTAGTTTCTTTACAACCGCTTTACAACTAACATGGTTAACAATGATAAAATAAAGTTCATGAAAATTACTCAGTTAAATAAAAACAAAAGTACATACTAATGACCAATCATATTAAGATAGGTCATGCAGTCCAGGGTAGGCGAAGATTGAAGTCTATTGATTTTTGTACACACAGTTTAGGCTGTATGTGATTAATCCAAAGTGCTTCCATCACCTTCAATAACCTTGAATTAGAGTTATGTGAAATAATTGTGAAACAGTCATTAATATTGATTTTGTGACCAGACATTAATAAGTGTTTTGCAATGGATGATGCTGGATTTCTACTAAGATTAATCGCGTTAGGATTTTCGATATGATTTACTAGCCATTTTGGAACATGTTCTTTTCGACGACATTGGAACATTCTGTTAGTTCTACCTATATAGGTGTCACCGCAGCTGCAGGTGAACTTGTAGATACAGTTTGAAGTAGAGTCCACAGAATTTCGTCCTTTAATCGTAGGTACAGGGATCGAAAATGTTCGGCAAGTGAGAAAAAGAGATGCGGCGTAGAATGTGCGTTTGATGGCTGACCGAAGTCTTTGAGCTGTCAACTGCATAATCTGGTCGCCCTTGAATGGTAGATTAATAAAGATAGCTTTCTTTGGTACAGAAGCTTTCTTTTCAAGATGTGGTCTATCCTTACCGTGACAATTGATGAAGTTTTCTGGATAACCATTGGCTAGTAAAACTGAATGTATATGTCGAAGCTCATCCATCAATGTGTCACTCGTACATATTTTTCGAGCCCTTGAGAACAAACATTTCACCAGGGAACGTTTATACTGGATAGGAACAAAACTGGTAAAATGAAGATATTGTCCACTCCACGTCTGTTTACGAAAAATAGAGCGCTGAATCGTTCCATCATTTCTCCTAGTCATAGTAATATCCAGGAAACCGAGTTTGTTATTGGATTCTAGTTCGGAGGTCACTCGAATATTTGGATGGATATGATTAAATAGGGTGATAAAGTTTTCAATAGATTTGCTATTATTACTAATAATAAGAGTATCATCTACATAACGTTTGTACAGCATAAATTCTCCAAGCATACCTTGCATTTGTTTCTCTAATTTCGACATAAATATATCTGCTAACAGGGGCCCCAGAGGGCTACCCATTGCAACACCGTCGATTTGTTTGTATGCTTTTCCTTGGAATGTGAATCGAATATTTTCTGTACACATTAAGATGATGTCTTTGATGTACGTTACAGGAATAGGTAAGTTTATCCCGTTGCTTGTGATAGTCGCAAATGAAATCAACAGTTTCATGAAGGGGAACATTGGTGAATAAAGATTCTATGTCAATTGAACATAACCTTTTCTTAATGTTCAAGGTATTATTTCAGAGATATTATTTATTTATGATAGAGCGACTCTTCTTGTGGTCTTTATTGATGGTTTCTTATTGGTTTCGTGGTTCAAGCTTAAACACTTTTCGATGAATATATGCGTAAAACTTGTCCACTGTGGTAGTAAGTAATTCCATATAAGTTTGTTTATTAGATGTATCACAGTTTTATTTACTGAATGACGTTTCAAAGAAAATTTATTGTCCACAATAATATCAATTATAATCACACGACTTCGAAACTTGAGTTTTATAGTTTTCTTTGTTTTCTCCTATTTGTCGTAGAGGTAGTAGAATTTTTCCAGATATCTGGGTGGACAGGTGTTGAATCATTCCTATTACACTTACTCTGTTCTCAGTTGATTCGATAAACAAAGCTTCTGTTATCAATCTCTCCCTCCGCTCTGTGATGTTAGATTAGATTAGAGAGGTTGACAACAGAAGCTTTGTTTATATTAGATGGTTGGAGGCAGTCGGCCATAGGAAGCCTTGGACCTAGGTCTCGTGCGTTTGTTGGCAATCATCAGCAAGGCGTCTCTGCAATTTTGAAGGAGCTCAGGTTCCTTCTGAGATTTAAAACCAGCGTCACCCATTGCTGCAGTCATAGACGTTACCACTGAGCTATTCGGGCTCGTGAGTGACCTCCTGTAGGTGGTGGTGGTGGTGGATATTTTGATTGGACACCACTAGTAACTAGAGTAATGTGTCTAATCCTTCAAGGTTGCAGATACGCTTTGCTGACAAGTGCCAACTAGCATGAAACTTAGACTCAAGGCTTCCTGCCGATTGCCTTCAACCATCTAATATCATCAAATCAATGTGCACTGTGATGGTGAGCTACCTAGTAGTGGCATGGAGGCCACATTACAAACCTGACTGATAGAATTCAGTATACACCAATCAGAGGACTAGACACATCACACTAGTTACTAGTGTCCAATCAATAGAAGCTTTGTTTATCGAATCAACTGGAAATACATGTAATAAGAATGATTCAACACACCTGTCCAGCCATATATATATGAAAAATTCTACTACCCCTACGACGACAAATAGGAGAAGACAAAGAAAACCATACAGCTAGTGTCAAATTCATGTGATTACGATTGATATTATTGCAGGCAATAAATTTTGATGAAACGTCATCCAGCAAATAATACTGTTTCACTCTCTGTGTGATTGATACATCTAATAAACAAACTAATATGGAATAACTTTTCAATGAAATAGTGAGGATATCCGTTCTTTTTTTAAGACAGTAAGTAGGTATTTTTCCTGCATTCTCTTCAACACTGGAGTAGTGCTACAGTGTTGTGTTTGAACTCTTTTGAACAATGTCTGGACACAGTTTCTTTTGTGGATGGTTGGGTTATTACTACTATAGCTGAGTATTTGGTCTGTGTCGGCGTTGATTTTCTATAAACTTGTTTCTTGATTTCCTGTGTTATTTGTCTTGATTAAGACATCTAAGTAGAATCGAATTTGGTTGTCGAATTCTTCTTCTTCTTCTCTTGTGAATTTTAATGTCTTTAAATATGAGTATATTCCATATCATTTCTTTTAATTATTACACATGGGATATACGGAAGTGCGTCCCTGGCGCAATGGTAGAATGCTCGCCAAACATGCCACACGTGGTTCTGGGTTCAATCCCCGGCCACTAGACGCACCCCTAAACCTCACTCGCTAAGCCATTAATAAGACCGATAAATAAGGAAAGTTGGGTATGAGGCGGCAAAGTTAAACAATACCGTCCCATGGGATGGGGATGCACGACTGACCTTCAGCCGACCAATCATAAAAATAAGTGACACTTGTACAAAATATGACATACATTTACGACAACAACAAAAAGTGCATGAAAACACATTAACTCAGGGTATCTTTCTCTGACATATGACTTAAAAATACGTCTAAGTTACAATGAGGAGCCTGACTTTCTATGTTGTACTAGTTTCTGTATATGTATTCACCGATGTGACTGAAGATGAGCTATTTTTGTGAATCGTTTAACTCTCTTCTCCCCAGAGCTCTCATTTCGATTTATTTTGATTTTTTTTTTGATTTTTGATTACAGGTTGATTCTACACTGTATATTTTTGGTACAAGTATGGAATTTTCAGCATGAATATCGGCAGCCCGAACTTTGCACGCCGACCATAGATATCAGGTGTGCGTTGATAAAGGATCGAACCTCGGACCATGTGCATGGTCGGCGAGCGTCCTAACCACTGTACCACCGACGCACTATGGTTTCCAGGGAAATATGGATAATAAAACAAATTAAAATAAATGACATCAACTCTGAATCTAACCCTAATCGCAATTATGACTGTAATCCTAACCTTAACCCTAATCCTAACCCTAATGAGCTATTAAAACATTGCCAAAACAGTACTTAAAAACGTGATCTGAGTGAAATTCGCTGCTTAGCTGGTGAATAGCATTGATATTTCAGTTATGATTATGACAGGTGGTGCCGTCAGCCAACGGCTGGCATGCGTTCAAGGTCAGTAGAGCGTTCTCACTCCTGGGACACTATTGTTGAACTTCTCTCATGGGGATGGTTAGGAACCTCATCCTGTATAAATAAAGTCCACTGACTGCTACCGAAACTTCAAAGCTGTAGCTTGAAGCCGTCCTATGTTCCATCACTGGGAACGTTAAGGAATAAAAAATCAGTATATATTGGAGCTAGTTAGAAATTATGTAACTGAAATGGAGTCAAATTCTGTACATTTCACTATGCTGCTGTCCTTGTTGTTTTTTTTTTTTAAATTCTACAGATTGTCATTTAGACTGTGTCTGGCAAAATCAACCATTATATTATCAAGTATCTCAAAGATTCTATCCATATTCCGGTCAGCATATGAGTTATATAACACTTCATCAACCTAGTAGTACATTACAAATATCTCACTGTCCAAGAGCAGCTGATACTACTGTTGACCGCTATCAAAATCATCGTGGACTGTGTCAATATGCCCTACATCTTCAAACATCTGAATATACAGTATGTCATGATGAAAATTCATTTGTACAAACATGTTTTGTTCCTTCATGTGATCAAATGGGTGAGCTAATATACATTTTTTAAATATATATATACATATATATGTAACGACAGAAGACAAGAGTCAGGGAGCAGATCGTTTATTGAGAAAAAACCAACAGATATTTATAGATTTTTATGTACATTATTATTCGTTATTATTAGCAGAGAAACAAAGTCTTCTGATTGGTTGTTTTCTCGCTAAAAGTTAATCTGTCATTTCCTTGTGGCTATTGCTTTGAAGGTCAGACCATATATCTGCGAATCGCATCCGCCCACGCAGAGTCTGCTGTGATTGGTTGTTGAGTTAGGCAAGACAAAGCAATGGTTACAGAAAATGTGACTGTATCACTAGTAAACTTGTTCCCATGACTATATATTCGTATATATGTAGAATTCGGAATGCAGAATATTCTGGATGGGCTTGGTCAAAGGTCAGAGAAAACTGAATGAAGTCATTACAATATTTCATCATTAGCTGACTGACATCGGTTAGAGAACCATTGGAAAACCAGCACTAGAGTACTGCAGAGCTGTTTCGTTCTAGTTTGGGACCCTTTGTCAGTACTCATTCACCTCACAGCTAGGGTTCAAACTCAAGATCTTCTGGTTACAAGGCGAAACAGCTCGTAGACCACCAGGCCATTAGGACTCTGTCCAATAGCCCATATAGCTTGATGGCCTATGAACTCACCTCATAACCGAAAGGTTCTTGGTTTGGGTTACTGCCAGTGAAGAGTCCAGAACTTGAATGAAACAGCTGTCCAGTACTCGAGTGCTGGTTTCCAACTGTTTTCTAGGCGAATCCAGCTCACGATGAAATCCTGTTACTAATCAATCGAATCCCTGCGAACCAACACTTGAACGAAATGACATCATTTAGGCAGTTTCATGTAATTACCGTGAGGTCAAATACGCATGTTAAACCATTAGTTGGAAGTCAGCAAAGTAATCAGAATATAGGAGGTTAGCTGGATCAGGAATAGTGGACACTACTAGATTAAACAATCTAGAGAAACACAAATTGATTCCCACTACGCATTTAGTTAAATGTAATCATGACACAAAACAGTGTCATGATACGGGGCGAAATTTGGATGCAATGAAACGGTTATACCTATGACTTTTTACTACAAAAACTACTCAGCAAATAAATTATGATTAAAAATTGAGGAATGTTTAAAAATATAATTCCAGATTATATAAGTTTGTCTGTTTGATGTTTTTGAGAGGTGGTTTGTAGGAAATTGATTGGTTTCAAGTTTTCTTCACAGATTGATATCAGTTAGAGTATAACAACAAAAGACAAGGCCAAGACAATAGATTGTTTATTGAGAAAATTAACAGATATTTATAGGTTTTTATGTACATTATGGCCGTTTCTTAGACAGTCCGGTGATATACAGCTGCTAATCGTATCCGCCCACGCTAAGTCTTCTGTGATTGGCTGTTGAGTTCCTCAAGGTTAGTCTTTGTTCTTGTTCTCTCTCGTGACGCTGATTAGGGACGTAAACATTGACGTAAATTGCTGTCTACCAATTTTGGCTAGTAGACAGCTCTCATCACAAGAGAACAATTAAAAAGCAGAACTTGAGCACTGGACAGCCAGCTGTTTCGTCATCCTAGTTTGGGATTCATCAGTAGTCGCCAGTCACCTCACTGTCAGGGTTCCAAACCACGACCTTCCAGTTACGAGGCAAGATCGTAGACTAGTCAGCCACTGGGACCCTGCTCCTCACTGAACAGACCATGAATCCCATCTTCTTCTTGTTCACGATTTAGCGTGACTGGAACTAGCCAACGTCATTGCTGGCAAGTATTTGTTCTCACACTCAATCGAGTGGTTCACAACTTCCCACTAGAACCCAGGTAACCACCGCCTACCTGAATAGGGCCAGTCAATCTCTAGTGAACATCAGATTGATGCTGAAGTAGGATATAGCAGGTCATCTGTAAGGTTAAATACTTGCCAGAGGCGACATTGGCTAGTGGTCACGCTATATCATGAATTGATAGAAGTTGGATTTCGTGAGCTAACCATTGAGGAGATAAGTCTCAGTGGCTTAAGGATGTTATTTTGCACTAAGCCAGTTGGTGCACTGGATCCATACATCAATAAAGTCTATCTCTAGGTAGGTTTATAGCGTTAAACGTCATAGTTTCTTCCTTGTGATAATGTACTTTTGAACATATAAATATTAATGCATGTGGATGACACTCAATAAAAGGCCATATGGATTTCATTTAGATTGTTTACCAAAAATTGGTAACTAAAATTTGTTTTCACCTATGTTTCGCACTCTTTGTGATTCTTCAAAACGATGCACCACAGAACTTTCAAGGAATTCATTTTTTCACAGTGGAATTTTGTCAAGGTTTATGAGAAAAATCACAGAAAAAAATAACTCATTGACTGATGAAAGGATTAACTTTGAAACGACATTGCTTTCTTTATTTCCGTTCCTCTGGTTCTTAAGGAAACCGAAGAAGTCTCAATCTTCGCATTTTCGTTAGCATTGGTGTCGGCTTTACGACTTATAGGGTTTCTAACCTCAGCTACGACTTTCGCTCATTCCTCGGACACAGTATCCTCTATCTGTCATTTTTATGGTTGACTTTGAATAATTAGGTTGCTTAGTCTGAGTAATTTTTCAAACCTAGTGTAGTGTTTTGTGGTGTTTCGTTGTGGAGTCACCTGACGCTTGGCACTGTCATATAACCAGCTGTTGAATGAGGCTGATAAAGAATTGGGTCCCCGCCCACCATAGTGTTGGAGTAGTTTCCAAATGACTTCACCGTCTACGTTGTCAAAGGCCTTTCCAAATTAATCGATGAAATTGAGGCAGAGAAGTTTGAATCCCTCAAAGTGTATTGCATAAATTCTTCTCAAAGTTTATCTATGCTTCCATCTCTTCTCATTTCTAAGCTCCAATACCATGTGTTACAATTGGCGAACAGTCCTTTCAAAGTAATTCGTCAACAATTCAAGTCGTTTGGAATATCGTTCCATCCTTGCAACGTGATGTTTTATCAAATTTTAAAAATGATGAAATGGAAATCGATGCATATTTAGTGATTCTATATGATCTAAACGAATCTAAAGACAAATTTAAAATGTGCGCACAATATAAATTTGTGGTAAGTTCAAATGATAAGTTCATTAATGGTATTTATAATGATTGTGATTCTGTGATAAAAGAATAAAACTTGTGCGCTATGGTAGAGTATAACTCCATTATGAGTAAAATTTGTTTTGATGAATTCATACAGACTGTTGTTATACACAGTAATATTTACTGATGACCACGTTTCGAGCACAATTTATTACTGTTCATAATCATATCAAGGCACTAGTTACACAACTTGCTAACTGCGTTTATATAATTCCATTTATTTCCATCGCTTGATTTGATTGGTAGTAGTATTTTCTATATTTCTGGTATGAGTGATGTGTCATTTGTATTGCATATGTTGTGTTGGGTGTAGACTCGATGAGCAAAGATTCAGTTATCAACCTCTCTATCTCTCTCCACCTACCTAGATTACTGTTAAGAATTTTAAGTCTTTCTCTCATCATATTGTGTGGTTGTGTGTTAATAAATTGAGGGAGCTGCCATGGGATCACCAGTATCTCCGGTTGTAGCAGGTATATATTCATGGATAGATGGGAAAACATAGCGATTGAAACGTTCAGCCCAACTCCCTATCGAAGTATTGTGGAGGTATGTAGATGACACATTCACTGCACTTACAACACAGGACATGAATAGATTTTTTGAACACGTCAACTCGAATGTAGAGGCAATTCAATTCACTTACGAATTTGAAAGTCAGGAAGGGGAACTTCCAATGTTAGACTGTAGCGAAAAAAAGGAAGAAGACAGAAAGTTCAAACACACTGGTGTTTACAGGAAACTGTCACATTCAAACAGATATTTGAACTTCTGATCAACCCATTGTATGTCAGTAAAAATAGGATTGGTGAAATGTTTAAATGACAGAGCACAAAAACTAAGTAGTACCAAGGAAAATCTAAGACAGGAAGTGATACATATAAAAGAAGCCTTGAAACTTAATAATTACTCTGATAAATTAGTCAGAAAATATATAAGTTAATATAAAAATAAAATAAATAATGATAGTAGCGATAGTGCTAATAACAATAATAATGATGATAATGATAATATTAATGACGACACCAACAATAAGGAATCTAAATCATCAGTAATAATTCCATACGAGGAAGGAACCTAAGAAACCTTACACAGAATTCCTAACAAGACAGCAATAAGAGTGGCATTCAAACTGCCCACAAACTCAACTAGAAATGAGCTTTGTCGGTTAAAGGATCCTGTGGAGCCTTTAAAACAAAACAATTTAGTTCATCTAATACCCTGCAATGATTGTCAGGTCAAATACACAGGTCAAACTAGTAGAACAGGGGCAGTCAGACTAGCCGAACATGAAAACCTAGCTAAATCTAGATTGGTTGACCCGAATAAGATAAGAAATCTAGAGAGTAGTTCAGCTATAGCACTACATGCAGTTACACACAACCATACAATAGGATGGGATAGGATGACAGTTTTAAAATCTAATGTCACAGGGTATATATAGGGAGAGATTGATAACGGAAGCTTTGTTTATCAAACTAATTGAAGAGAGTACGTGTAATAGGAATGATTCAACACCTTTCCCAGATATATGGGAAATTCTACTACCCCGACGACGACAAATAGGAGAGAACAAAGAAAACTATAAAACTCAAGTTTCAAAGTCGTGTGATTATCACTGGGGATATGATTATGAACAGTAATAAATTTTGTTTGAAACCTTGTCATTCAGTAAATAATAATACTGTTTCACTGACTGTGTGATATATCTAATAAACAAACTAATATGGATTTACTCACTACCACAGTGCCCAAGTTTTAAACACATATCATTCCGTATCTTACGTTTTGCTGTTACAATAGCAGAGGTAATAATAATAGTAATAGTGTTGAAAACAATTAGGATAATGCTACCGACAAAAGATAGTTTTAGACGAATCAATAATATTCAAGTGTTGCTTTACAATGATTTCATTGAACTCAGTCACACAGTGATGATGCAGTATTGATAAATGGATGACAAAGTTTCGAGCATAAATTATTGCCAGTCATTATTATTATTATTGTTCCCTTGGGTTCCTAGTGGAACATAGGTCTTCAACTGCACGTCTCCACTTGATTCTGTCTTCCTTCTGCTGTACTTTTCACCTGCATCCATGTTAGTCCATGCTGTTTCAACTCCTCTTCACACGATCTCCTCCATGTCACCCTTAGACGTCCCTCTCGTCGCTTCTCTTTCGGCCTGGTTCCACTCGAGCAATGGCCTGGCGCGCACACGATGTCACTCAGTGGCCTCCTCAGCCGCGAGTGTCCGATCCATCTCCACATTCTCCTGCATATTTGTTGGTTGGCGATTGTTTTTTTCTTGTTTTGTTTGTTCTCATAGTTTCTTGATGGTGATTCTTTCCGGCCCGGCCATCTGATCTTCAGTATAGATCCAGCGAACACAGTTGCTGATAAAAGTCTGCAACAGGCTGTTGGAAATATCCTTCGTGACCCGCCCGCCAAGTTTCTGAACCGTGTAGAAGAACTGACTGACTTGACGTTTGTATTCAAAATTCGACTGAATTTTGTTGTTGATGCTGAGTGACGAAGATTCCCAGATTGGTTTCAGATTGATGAATGTGTTTCTCGCCTTCCCGATTCTCGCTCGATTTGACATCCTCGTCCGTTCCAACTGCCTGTAGTTGAGACAATGCTCCCTCCCTAGATAAGTGAATGAATGAAGTAACCTCTTTCAAATCCCTCCCGTTGATGGTGATTGGCGCTGGATGTTGCTGCTGTTTTTGTACGGTCCCAAGCCCGGATAAAGAGGGGAGGGTTGCGGCGTGATGCTAGCAACTCCACACCCAAAACTGTACCGAATTGCTACAGAAACTTCAACGCATAAATATAATAAAAATACTAAAAAATATTACCACTTATAATCATATCAATTTTAGCCCAACTTGCCTTTGTTGTTTGTTGTCACTTTGCATATCTCCAGTATAGGCGTTGCGTTGCTCCATTCCAATATCACGTGTATGGTGTTGAATCGATAGACAAAGCTCCAGTGATTAAGCTTTCTCTGTCTCTTCACTTAACTTCATTACTTTTTAATACTTTCACCCTTCCCCACCCACCCTGTTGTATGTGATAACATCTAAGCAAATGCAGTGCAATGGCTGAGCTCTGCTTTTTTTTCTAGGTTATTCAACTTACCAGGGTCAATCATTCTAGGTCTAGCTAGCTAAATTTTTATGTTCCAATAATCTAGTTGACCCCAATCTACTAGTTTGACTTGTGTAACTGACATCATGGTATCTGGTAAATTATATTATTTTTCCTAATAGGATTTATTGCCTTCTTAAGCCGATAAAGTTTATCCCTGAGTAAGTTACTTGACTTAAATGCCACCTTGATTCCAGCCTCATTGGGAATCCTATGTAAGGCCTCTGATGCTCCTCCTCTATACGACGGTATAACATAGAAACTTTGAATTTTATATTATTCTTGTTAGTTTTGTCATTTCTATTGTTAATCTTAATTTTTTTTTTCTATGGGTCCTCATACACTTCACCAGTAATATTTTCTTTATTTTCAGGTACTGGGTTTTTAGGGATTATTTCTGTTTGATTGGTTGGAGGATTTCATCATGAGCAGTGAAATCAGTTTAGAGAACCATTCGAAAACCAGCACCTAGAGTACTGGACAGCTGGTTCGTCAGCCTAGTTTGGGACTCTTCAGCAATACGCACCCACTCAACTGCCAAGGATCGAGTCTAGGACCACCTGGTCACAAGGCGAGCTGGCTTGTAAACCATTAAGCCCCTGGGACTTTATCCAATGGCCAGCCCATGGATTCTAAGTTCTACCAAGTCATGACTTAGCTCGACCACTGCCTGACCTTCAACCTGATGTGCCCTGCTGGTCAAGGCTTCCCACTATGTAACTGCCTGAATTGGGCCAGTCGCTAGTGAGCATCACATCAATCTTCAAGTATTGGTTTGTAGTTATTTTGATTGACTGGTTACAGGATTTCATCATGAGCTGACATTCGTTAGAGTACCATGGGAAAACTAGCACTAGAGTACTGAACTGATGTTTCTTCAGCCTTCTTTGGGACTTACTCTTCAGCAGCACGCACCCACCCTACTGCCAGGGCTCGAGCCCAGAGCCCGTAGACCATTAAGCCACCGGGACCTGATCCCATGGTCCATGAATTCTAACTTCTGTCAGTTCACGATATAGCACAACTGCTAGTCGATGTCTTCGACGAATATTTGTCCTCACAACCGGCCTGCTGCACCCCACTGGTCACGACTTCCCCCTAGAAGCCAAGGTATCTGCCTACTTGAAGAGTCCCAAATTAGACTGACGAGACAGCTGCCCAGTACTCTAGTGCTGGTTTTCCAATGGTTCTCTAACCAATGTCAGCTCATGATGAAATCCTGTAACCAATCAATCAAGTTCCTACAAACCAATACTTGAATACTCACTCCCAGGTTTTCTTGATTTTGTTTAATTTCATTATTTAATTGCATAACTTGAGCACACTCAAAAATACAATAATAATAACAATGGTAAAGCCTTATTTAAGACAGTATGAGAATATACTGTACAAAAATTCTCAGCGTATTCAGTTCCAAAGTACTTTTTTCTCCACACAGGATTCACATGTAAAGTAATAATCTGAAGTATATATCTTCATTTCGTTGAAGAATTGTACAGCGTTTACTTAGGATCAAGTTAAATCATCGCGAAAGTTTATGTATAGGTCATTTGATATAACTGGACGATTAAAACAATGATAAATCCGGACGAAATTAAGCATTTTGGAGGAAAGTAATTTCGGTAGCCCAATGATTTAAGCAGGCCGCCATTATCTCAACAGACATTAAAAATGTCTACAAGCCGTAGTTGTTTTTTTTTACGTTTGTTTGTTTTAATTGGTAATAGTATTATTTTTTTTCTAGGTAGTTTCAAAAGATCGTCTAGAAAACTGGAAGAATTACTTTCATGATCTATTAGTCCAGTCGTTAATAGATTCATGTCTTGGACAGACAGTACATTCATTGGCTTCATCGAGGTCGGAAAACACAGTGATCTTTCAAAATCTCTTACCAAGTACACTATATGAAGTGAACATTATACCGTTTAATAAATTTGGTAGACCTGGAGCTGGACAAACTCAAAGAGTAACAACAACAATTGCAAGTAGGCGATTTCACCTTAGATACTTAAATTTTTATTTATTTTTAAACTCTTTGATATTGTGATTTGATAGGTAGATAGATAGACAGATATTCGAACCCAGTACCTCCCAGTTATACAAGGCAAGCTAGCTCGTATACCATTCAGCCACTGGGACCCGATTCAATGGCCTGTGCATGAATTCTAACTTCTATCAATTCGTGATTTGGCGCAACCCCAACCATTGTCGTTGGTGGGACATCCATCCACACACGTGACATTTAATTACGCCTTACTGGTCACGACTTCTCACTAGAACTGACTCCAGGAAACTCCATCATGTAGCAAGTCACTCACTAGCGAGCATCAGAATAATTTTCGATAGTTTGGTTTGTAAGGGTTAGTTATGTTTTTACGAGTTGATCTCGGATTGATGATCCCCAAACTAGGCTGGTGAAACAGCTGTCCAGTACTCCCTGGTTTTCAATGGTTCTCTAACTGATATCAATCCGTGATCAACTCATAAAAACATCACTAATCCTTACAAACCAAGCTATAAAAGATAGACAGATGGGTAGAAGCCGATGTGTATTATCAAATTGCATTATGGAATCATTCGTTTTTGTTATTAGACTTACACCTAGTTCACATTTATGCTCGAAACGTGGTCATCAATAAATATTACTGTATAAAAATTTTATCCATAATGGAGTTATACTCTACCACAGTGCCTAAGTTTTATCCTTATATCAGTAATACAGTCACCTCATCAATTTATCGTAACCTTTCTAACCTATTATGGTTGAGTGGCGCCGGTGGCACAGCGGTAGAATGCTCGCCAATCACGCCACAACTGGTTCGAGGTTTGATTCCCAGCCAATGGATGCCCATCATTACCTCTCTAAGCCGGTAATAAGACTGTCAAAAAGGGAAGGTTGGGCATGAGGCTGGCTAGCAACCCCATCCTGTATACGTAAACTCCACTGCTACGAAAACGTCAAAGCTCTAGCTTGAAGCCGCCCTATGTTCCATCACTAGGAACGTAAAGGAATAAAATAAATAATTAGGAGTGCATCAATTAGGAACTGAACTCGGACCACGGCAAAGTTAAACTTTAAGCACCACTACCAACTACCACCAATCAGCGAATGACCTTGAACGCACCAATCACGTGAAAGGGGCATTTTTGTACATGCAATACATATATTTATGAAAAAATTGTATAAAAACTGTATAAAAGTGTTACAAAGGATACCTTTCTCTCACATGTGATAAAAGTAGCTCTCACTTGTGGGTTGAAGTATCAACGGATTGTAATTCCATCGTAGGTAAAATTTATTTTGATAAAGTCTCATAGTGTTTGTTATACAGTAATATTTACTGAGCAATAAATTGTGCTCGAAACGTCGTCATCGGTGAGTATTACTGTATAACACTGTGAAACTTTATTAAAATAAATTTTAGGCACAATGAAATTATACTCAGCCACAGTGCACTAGTTCTATTCTTACTTCACCAGGGAAATTTAACCACATTCTCGGCATGTAATTATTTTGGCCTTCGAACCCTTACAGTAACCCTAATCTTTCCTCAACCTAACCCTAATGTGAAAATATCCCTAAACTAACTGTAATCTAACTTGAACCAACCCCAATGTCGCCTTTGTTACGTTAACCTAACCCTGACTTGTCTTTGGCTTAAAGGGTAACTTAATCTTTCCCAAACCTAAGCTGAAACTTGCCCTATATCTCATTTAATAGATAACATAACACTTCGATGAGCATATTTTATTGATGATGACAACATTATTTGCCAGGTTTCACTAACTTTCTCAGTCAGCGTTTTAAGGTCACTGCTGCGGTCGCACTCCATTGGTAGTTAGTGATGCTTAAAGTTTACCTTGGAGGTGTTGGTGAGCATTCCAATATTTTCGACGGTGAAAAATAGACACACCACAGCTAAACGACCTTTAACTAACCAATCAGATCATCAGTACTACAAATGGATGGATGCACTTCATAATCTTTGTTGAAAGTTTCACCCTAACCTTAATCATAATCCTACTTTAGTGCCACTCTAACCTTAACCCTGGATCAGGGTTAAACTTGCTAATATTGTGGTGAGATCTGTCTGCTGTCCAAAATTGGTAGATAGCAATTTACGTCAATGTTTACCTCCCAAAACAAGAACAAAGACTAACTAAACAACCAATCACATCAGACTTAGGGTGGGTGGATACTATTCGCAGATATATGGTCTGACCATCAAAGAAACGGCCACAAAGGAATGACAGAATAACCTCCAGGAGGAAAACAACCAATCAGAAGATGCTGTTTCTCTGCTAATAATAACGAATAATAATCTACATAGAAGTCTATAAATATCTCTTGGTTTTCTGAATAAACGATCTGTTGCCTGGTCGTTATCTTCTGTCGTTACAATATGATTATGAAAATCTTCCATCCATTTGTGATGCGCAGCGATCTAATTGTTTTTTTTCAAGGTCATGTGACTGTGGAACATCTATTCTTTACTGCTGCTACAAATCTTTCACCTTCTGCCGTTTCTGAACAACGTTGTCGGTCACTGTTGAACTTGAAGACCATATATACTTTGTAATGAAAGAAACAGAAAGTTCATTATTGTGTGTAAACGTGTATTAGGACTCTCGCCGACCATGCACGTGTTCCCGGGTTCGAGCCCTCGCCGACGCACACCTGATATCTATGGTCGGCCTGAGAATTTTGGGCTACCGATATCCACGCTGAAAATTCCATACTTGTACCAAAAATACGGTGTGGAATCAAGCTGTAATCAAAAATAAATAAGTAAATAAAAAATTATTCAAAATAAAGCTGATATTTAGTAAAATTATAAAGTGTAATAAACACGAAGATCGGATACAGAATACAGTTAGGTAGACAAGTTATAGTATTATCCTAGAAATATTTCACATCAAAGGTCAAGTCAGTAAAATTACATAATAAATAGGTGTGAAATTTCCAGAATAATTTCCAGTCAAGACTCAAATTATTGCAATTAGAAATTGAAATGCCGTAATAAACAGGTGGGGGACGCACAAAACTCAAACAAAGTAGCATCATAATAACTGAGAAGATTGACGTATTGTGAAATTAGGGGTTAGAAATGTAGAAATAACAAAAACAGACAGGATGGTTGGATAAAAAGTCTAGTGGGATCATAACTAATGTGATGAATAATTGTTTATGCAATCAGGGATTAAATATGTAGAAATAGTAAAATGACAAAATAAACACTAAGTTAGGGTATGAAAATATGGTAGTGTAAACAGGGATTAAGAAAAAACTTGAAAATAATATGAATAAACAGGAATTTTGGATAAGAAAGACAATGGGATAGCCATTATTAAAAGAATTACCTGTTTATGATAGCCATGGCAGGGACAAGGGCTGAACGTATTTCTTTTGGATACATAGCGTGGGTTTGAGTTCCTGCACGGCTAGTTCCTCGGCTACGCCCAGATATCTTAATTTTACTCCCTTTGATAGGTTAGATCGAATCTTGTATATGATTTTGAAAGATTTTTCAAAAGGCGCTGAATGTCTTGAATTGACCAGATCTCACTGTCACTGATCTATATATATACACATTTTCGTTCTCCTTTTTTTACTAGCCAGGCTGGATGGTGTTCACGAGCGCATTTTGCAAGTTAGCGCATGGCACGGCCAATGTACTCAGCTCCACACGAGCATGTAAACTGATACGTGCACTTTTTGTAATTTTTGCCAAATTGACCTTTGACCGGAAAGCTGTTATTATTATTATTATTATTGGAGGATTTCATCATGAGCTGAAATCAGTTAGAGAACCATTGGAAAACCAGCACTAGAGTACTAGATAGCTGTTTCGTCAACCTAGTTTGGGACTCTTCAGCGGTACGCACCCAAACTAGGATGACACAGCTATCCACTACTCTAGTGATGGCTTTCCAGTGGTTCTCTAACTTATGTCGGTGCTCATGATGAAATCTCCCAACCAATGAAACAAAAAGAATCCCTACAAAAACCAATACTTGGAAATTGATCTGATGCTCACTAGCGACTAGTTCTTATCAGGCAGTTACCTGAGGTTCTAGTGGGAAGTCTTGACCTGTAGGCTACAGGAAGTAAAAGGTTAGGCAGTAACTCGTCGAAGAAGACATTAAAACGTGGTCGCGCTATATATCATGCGTGAATTGACAGGAGTTAGAATTCATGGACTGGCCATTGAATTGTCGGGTCCCAGTGAGTAGCTGAATGGTCTACGAGCCAGCTTGCCTTGTAACCAGAAGGTCCGGGTTTCGAACCCCAGTGGCGGCGTCGTGATGATGAGTCCGAAAGTAGACCGACGAACCAGCTGTCCAGTACTCTAGTGCTGGTTTCCCAGTGGTTCTCTAACTGATGTCGATGCTCATGATGAAATCCTCCAACCAATCAAACAGAAATAATCCCTACAAATCTCCTACTTGAAAGTTATTATTATTGTTATTACTGTGTCTGATATGACCATTAGATTACCATGGAGAAGACTACAAAAACTTGTTTTTACTTCATGTGTTTTTCCCTCCATTTCTTACCACTTTAATTTTAGTTCCATGTGAACCAAAAGAAATAGAAATTTACAAGACTGAATCTCACGCCTTCTCTATAAAATGGAAATTACAAAATCGTGTTTATTGTGGTCATCCATCCAATGTTATATTATATTATAAATTAATGAAATCACCTGGAAATACTGAAGAATGGTCATTTATTGATACAGAATATTCACTGGATCATATTAGATTATCATCATTACTTCCATGCCAAAGATATTGTGTTAAGTTGAAATTTGAAAATACCGCTGGTTCGAGTAAATTATCAAATGTTGTGTGTGATACAACTAAACGAGCAGGTCAGTATTATTTTATATTTCTTATTATAACGTAGACTAAACACGCACACACACACACACACACAGAGTTTGGTACTTTTTCAACACTGTTTCAAGCAATTACAGTCCCCTTTATGAATTGTAACAAAAATAAGAAGACGTAGTTTATCTGAAAAATGTGTGATATGTATTTGCTTAACATGTTATATCAATAATGCTTAACATGATCCTGTCTGTCTGGTTTCAACACAGAACTTTGCACCGGTATCTAGCAGTTCGAGTCGCCACACTTCACTCAGCACACAAATCCAGAGAATAAAGTAAAAGGAAATGCAAAATAGAGACAGTAAACAGAGATAAGAGGCAAAAAGAATAGTAATATCGAAGAACAATATAGTTTTATTGGATATGGTAAGTCACAAGGAGTGGATGCATCTGCGCCAGCCATTGAGAACGATTTTGAGCCATATCACCAGTTGTCTCAAGCCGCCATTGGTGTTTACCGTCCCGAGGACCCCAACCAGCCAGTCAGGAAGTTTGCACCTTCCTACGTGGCTAAAACTGACTATTGTGGATTTCATTGACTTATGAAGCCATGTTTTGGTTTGACCACTACTGGCTCTTTCGCAACCTGACCATATGTCACCTAACATTGCCCGTTTTGGAAGAAGGCGATCGATGTCTAGGCATGCGTAACACATGTCCTAACCATCTCAGCCGATGTAACTTCGCAGCTTCGTCTATTGATTTCCCCTCCAAATTACCTAGCACTCGACCGAGGCCTAACCTCAGTACTGCTCACCCTATTATACCAATTCACACGAGAAATAGAACGTAGGCATCTATGATCGAAGATAGCTAGCTAGCCGGCCTTTTCATGTCTTCCACTCTCAATGACCAGGTCTCTCAGCCATAAAGGAGGACAGAACGAAATGACTGCTGGGTAGTACACACACACACACACGAGTATCTCCCATAAACATTTATGTAGAACGCAAGAGAGCACGAATTATTACAATACAAGTGAATTTGTGTGCAGGTCAAGGTTACGAATAAGGAGTAGGAAGTTGAAGTAAGGATGTAAGGTGACAAAATCATTGAGTAAATTGAACCTTAGTTCTAATAGAACTTACTATACAGCTAGACTTTTCTTCATAGAGAAAACGACATCTATGCTGTACTGTGAACCCTCAGAACATCCGAACTTTAGTGTCCCTTCACATGTATGTGTGGACACACATATATATAGGGAGGACCCATGGGGCTCTGCAAGTTAGGGCTACAGAGCATATTCCAAAAGAGTGGCTGCAAAAACAAATAAGATAGCCACATACAACTGATCCAGGAAACAGATGTCCAACAACGTCTATAACGAAGCACATTATAGAGACGAGTCACAAGGCGTTGATTTCAACAATGCCTTTAAGCCCATATATGAACCAAGGTTGGGTCATATGCTTAAATTCATTGAAGCCTTGGCCATAAAAAGACTTTAACCTGTTTTAAATGTCCAAAAACTATTTGTTATTACTTTGAACTAACCTCGGTAATCCAATTTGCAACCAAGGATCAATTTACTTCATAATATTTTCAACCTCTTCTTTGCCTTGTTTTTCTTTCTTACCCACACCTTTGTGTCATCTCCCTACCCCCATTATTTGTGACCTTCACCTGTACACAATCTGACCTGTATTGTAATAATAATAATAATAATAAATTCACTTTTATTCCAGAAACAGTATTTGTGGAACAGTGTGGAATTTTCAGCACACATCTACAATATTGCATCTAATTTCATCGCACATTTAAAAGGAGTATTACAAAAAAAATAATAAAAAATAAAAAAAACAACAAAACCAAACAAAAACACAAAAATAAAAAAAATGCAAATAAAAATACCAAGTAGAAAGGAAGATAAACACCAATAATAAAAATATTTCAGTATTGGGTAGTGGAAGCTATGATATGTGCATGCGTGGTGAACAGTAACAGCTATAATCATACAAGAAGTTATGAAATGTTCTTAAGAATGTTTATAGCCAAGATGATCAGTTAATTTGATTGAACTACACTAAACAATCATAAAATAAACATTTCAGGTTTTTTTTTCAGCATGCTGTTTGTTGTGGTAGTGTGAGTAATCATGCATAATACAAAAATTTTAGGATGGTGATAACGGCGTTCACAACCAAGATTGTCAGTTTAATATTGCCGAACAAAAAAACAATCACAAAACTAATATTACATGATGGTTAATGACAGGACAATTTTGTAATAATCATAGTGATAATATAGTCGGACCCAGTAGATACACAAAAGAAGGAATAGAATAAAGAATAAAAAGTAAGCCAATGATAATAATTTTAAGTAGCTAAGTATGTTTAAGAAGGTTGTTCACTATAGAGTACAAATAAGAGAGTATAAGGGGGAAATAACAAGGGCGCGAGTCATAGGTTTCGCGCTTAACATTGTCTCTGTCACTTAGAACACGGGCCAAATATGGTATCGTTGAGTTCCTATACTTGGTTGTACGAGCATATATTATTTTGTACTGATTTCTGGTTCTACCTGATGAGATGCAAGGAGAGAGTTGGGAATAGAGGGGGTGTTGGGGGTCAGAGAGTATGGTTTTAGACCATTTCTCACATGTATTCAGATGCTTATCCACTAATGTTGTGACGAGCTGACTGAGTTTTACACCGCTAGTCCTACTAACTACCTTCAACATCCTTCTCAGGATGGTATAGTCCTTTTTCAGTAACCCAGGAAAGACTAACGGGGAGCAGTAAAGTAGAATAGGTAGGATACGAGAGTTGACAAATTGTGAAAGCAGAGGTTGAGGGACTCCAGTTAGTCTGAGTTTCTTAATGTAGTAGGTTAGACGAAACACTTTCTTGGAAATCATTTGGATATGAGATGACCAAGTAAGGTCGGAAGATAGAACTAATCCGAGGTATTTTGCATTAGACTTTGTTTCAATTATAGTCCCCTCAATTCTACAGGCATCATGAGTGCTTACTAGTGTTTGTAGATCTCGTTTATGCCTAAAGGAGAAGTCGACAGTCTGGCATTTTGAGGGATTCAGCATGAGGCCATTTAGTTTAGACCACTGACTGATGTCCGACAGGAAGCTATTTAATTTGAAGCAGTCTGACTGAGACTTAACGGGAAGCGAAACAGTCAGGTCATCTGCATATTTGACGAAGTTGATTTCGTCTGAGAGAGGTAAGTCATGTAAGAAGAAGGAAAAGAGAAACGGCGAGAGAACAGCACCCTGAGGAACACCAGCTTCAGTAAGCAAAGGAGAGGAAGCTACACCATTATATACCGTGTACTGCATCCTATTGGAGAAGTAAGAGTGCAGCCAGTTGATAGCCCAGGACTCAGTTTGTGTAAGGCTAAGCTTGTTTAACAAAAGGCCTCTAGGTACAGAGTCAAAAGCAGATGTGTAATCAAGGAAAGTACAACGGACATACTTGGCCCCTTTGTCTAAGGAGGATACAATGTTGTGATGAAACACAGCAGCAGCATCCAAAGTACTTCTACCCTGTTTGTAAGCAAACTGCTTTGGATCATTTGAGAAGCTTAGGGAGGGAATGAGTTTTTGTAACAGTAATTTCTCCATCAGTTTCAAAAAAGAGAGGTAATGGCAATTGGTCTAAACTTAACACTATTTCCAGAACCAGACTTGGGTACAGGGATGATTTTAATATCTTTCCACAGAGAAGGTACAACATTATTAGAAAAAGAAGTATTGAAAATGCTTGTAAGTGGGTTACTTAAAATATCAGCACATTTCTTTAAACAATGGCAGGTATACCATCAGGGCCTAGACTCTGGGAAGGTTTAAGAGATTTCAAACATTTAAGAACATCAGAAGTATTGAAACTATGAAAGTCACTGGTCGTGTTATTAGTTAAATTGAAGGCAAAAGGGACATTTGGAGGGCGGATAAAAGATCTATTGAGAGTATTTACATCAATAGAAGAGGCACAATTACTAAGAGCTTCCATATGTTTTCTGAGTTTTACAAGACAGTATTGTTTGATTATAAATGTTGTTTAGTCTCTTGATTTCAGATTTAATTTGGATGTTTATCTTCTTAAGACCAGATTTATTCTTTGTCTTGTACAGCTTCTCTTTTTCTCTACGAAGTTTTTTGAGATGAGGGGAAGAGAAACGATCCATTCTTTTGAAAATTATCTGTTTTGGACAGCATATATCAAGACAGAATTTAAGATAGTCAGTCAAATTGGAAATAGTATCATCCAGTTTGTGTTCGTTGAAAAGTTCCCAGTTAGTGTCATTTAGCATACATCTTAGTTTGAGCATATTTTCTTGTGAGTAACACCTTTGCTGTGTTTTCTTGGACAGATTTGAGAAGATATTAAAGTGAGATCTGCTGTATATCTTAGGTAATATCCGAATAATACAATGATCTGAGTTCATGATAGGAGCACGTCTGCGTACTTCATATATTTCCTCATCATTAATAAACACTAGATCAAGAGTTTTATCAAGTCGAGTAGGAAATTTAACAATATTGGCATGACCTAATGATACGAGGAAAGAACAATCACAGCAGTTAAAATCTCCTGTGACAACTGATAAAGAGTTTTCAAGATGTGTAACGGCGAATTCAGTGAATTCATCAGCAAAATCAGATAGATCAGAGGCAGAACAGCCAGGAGTAACATAAATGTTAGAGATGAAGACGTATTTAAACTTGGATAAGTGTTTCGGGCGGCATTTGACTGTTATACAATCAATAAAGTCATTAGAGTAAGAAAAACATACATTATTTGAAGTTGACCATTGAGAATGAATGAAAGTTGCAACACCTCCACCTCTTTTCTTTCTGGAGCATAGTCGATCTTGTCTAAACAATGTAAAACCATTTAGGGAAACCAGATTGTCATCATAGAGTTCATGGAGCCATGTTTCTTGTAATGCAACAATCGCCGTATTGTGATAAGTATCAGATGATAAGAGAGACTGGAGATGCATAATTTTGTTGGGAA